CAGGGTGAAATACTGCTCTGCTTGAGTTCATGGCAAAAGGAATTTCCCCAGGTTCAGCAGTAAGGTCAGCCAGTGGCTTCCTGTGCAAAGCCACTGGAGAAGACTTCATGTCCAAACTCCTTGGCTCCCCACCTACAGGGCAGGCAGCTTGTGGGAAAGCTCAGGAACGGGGAGGCACTTAAGGATTACAGCGATGCTGTGGCCTCAGAGAAATCCCAGATACATAATAGCACTGCAAGAAACACAGAGAGCTCTGCCAGGTGCCAGGTTTGGGACAAACCTCCCCTTCTGGCCTTCAAAGCAGCAACTGGAAATGGAACAAACATGGTGACATAGGTCGGGTTTGACTTGAAATCAGAGCTGTGAATCTGAAGGTGGAACACTGGCCTTGGTGTGTCAGTAGAAATGTATGACTTGGGGCAGGATGCTTTTGAGCATCCAGACACTTTGGCTGGATGCTCTGAGAGCTGGTGATAGCCAGCATGACCAGAACTTCAGTGAACTCCCTTCATACTCCTGCGTTAAGTGTTTAATGAAAATCTCTGAGGCAACTTTCATCAAAAAATATTTATTTATACAAAATGATAGAGGAAAAAATAGACCAAAGTAATTTTTTACTATGAAAGACAATTCCTTGGAGGTTGAATGTCCTAGGTCTGAGTATCCATGGCACTGCAATCCATAGCTGTAGGTGGCTGACACACATCTGATGCTGAATATTACAGAAATTTGGAATGAGAAAGTCAATAAGGGATTTTTCCACTGATGACTGAGGGACTTAACCACACACCTCCTACAGACTTCAGTTAGAGATGTATTGCCAAATCCCTCCAGTGGCTTTAAAATTCAAACCAGAGAAGGAAATTTTTGAGGCCTTAAACTGCCTCACTGTTGGAGCCCACCTCTGTACAAAAGACGAATAGCCAGACACTGATTTACATGGGACAAGCATATCTCACCATTTTTACTTACACACTCCATTATGTGGGTTAGACTGAAGAAACCCTCTTGACTCCTATCCTAGCACCTCTTTGGTTAAATGTGTACAATACTAGGCTATACCAGTATTTTCAGTTAAACCAAACCAGGAGTTTAAGTGAATCTGAGGCTCCTTGTTGCTGTACATGCTCACTCGTGGTTTCAGAGTCTGTGGACAGCTGCCAGGATGTGACTCAGAGATGTTTCTATGGTGCCTTAGAGGGAAGGCAACATGGTGACCCAGGCAGCAAGACAACTTCTCAGTGCTGAACTGGATTTTGAAATGAATGCCAAAATTAACAAATTTCCTCACACTGGGAGTATACGTTTGTCTGGAGCAGTGCCTGTACCAAGCACCTTGGCCTTCTCTGGACAAGCAGTTTCCCTCAGCCCTAAGCCTATGCACTTTTTTTTGCCTTATGTTTTCCATATCTTGACAAAGTATATTCTGTGTTCTGCCTCAACATCCCCCAGATTTTGAACTGAATACAGTTCTGAGACTTCCCAGCTAAGGAACTCCATGAAACTTCCACTTGGAGACTCTCGTTTTTTTCAATAAAGCTCTGTAACCTGCCATGCTGGGACATTAGCACCCCATTTTGCATTAAAAATAATCATAGAATCATAGAATGGTTTGGTTTGGAAGGGACCTTAAAGGTCATCTTAGTTCCAAGCCCATGCTGTAAGGGTGATGGATAATCCAGATATCCATCTTTTCAGTGGTAGGGTTGAAGATGAAAATTGAAATCTGGGAAGTTATTCCTGTAAGTTGTTGACATTTGTTTTCAGACTTACTCTGAAAATCTGGAAGAAAATTTTATGATCCTTTAAAGTCCAGCTCATGATACTGAAGCGCTTCTGATCAATCACAATGAACTCATCCTTGTTTTTGAGTCAAGTACTGCTTCCACCTGACAAACTGCTCTACCTAAGCAGTGGTGGCAAGGGAAAACTGAAGCTGCTGGAAGAGAGCACCTTCCTTATGTGCTGTGATGCTGTATCGTAATACTCAGCAGATGAATTCATCTATGGTGTATTGCAAGCTCCTAAGAGGGTTAAAGTCAGCCTTTCAGTGACTCAACCCTCCAGAAAGCGCTGATATTTTCCTTTGTGACAACCATGTATCAGGGTATACTCTCACTGTATACACGTACACTCATGTATCAGATGCCTCACCTCGGAGTGTTTGCGTTTTAACTTTCACTCTCCTGTTTCTTGCTATCCCTTTGAACACTGTAGCTCAACTATGCCAAAACAAATCATTCAAATTCTCCTCTGGATGGATCTTTTATTCCTTCTGGCAGACTGAAAGGAGCCTCCTTCAAATCTGAAACATTGCTAAAACCACAAAAACAATCTCTATCACAGAAAAGCCCTCTTGGATCCCTTCCTGTAAGTGATTTCAGCATGCTTTCTGCTGTCTCATATTTTGTCTGGTTTATTTTTTTATATGCATCTGATTTGCATCTTTATTTGCGTTTAGTATTGTGTTGGTTTGATGCATGTTTGATTCTGAACCCCACCACCCCCAGAAAACATATTACTTTTTTCCCCAATATATCTCATTACACAGAAAAGTGCTGTTAGGGGTCAGGCCAAATTCATCAGCAGCAGCACTGCCTATGGCTTACTCACATACCAGACATCAGCTACTCAATATAACAGAAGTAAGGGAGTGTCGCTTCCATGTCACATCTGAGTAGGTGCAGTATGCACACAACTAACTTTGCACAGGCAAGGAAGAAAGCAAGAGTGTGCTCTTTTTCCAACAGCATGACAGCCAGGCAGTCACCGGGGGTGCTTGTTATCTAGCTATTATCTACATCATCTAGCATGTAGCACCAAGTTTCTGGTGGTATCCCTAACATACAGCTCTTTCTTCAGTTCCACTTTTTGCATTACTATCCAAGGCAAAGACACACCTCTGACTTTTTCAACAAATCTCTACTAATGTTTTTTCCTTTGTGAGTGCTTGTTGCTTCCCTGTTTAATCAAGATCCCTTGTCTTTGTACTCTGGTGGAAAACCACTGTGAAATCTTATTGGTAAAACAAGTACATTCAGGGTCAAGCCCCAGCCAAATGCCAAATCAATGCAAATGACATTGTATACTCACAATTCAATTGACCTATTTAATCCTAAGGCTTCTGGGAAAATTATCTCATCTACGTTTGTGCCAGATAATAAAAAAAAAACAAACAACCCTGTTCTTTCAGCAGGAAGGAGTCCACCTGAAACCAGAATTGAGTTTTCATTGCATCTGATGATGATGATGACTGATCTGGAAAAGGCAGCATGAAACAGCCCCTGCCATGGTCCCAAACCAACCATGTGCTCAAGAAAATTCCACCATGGAATATCACTGGAAAACCCTTTTCCTTCGAGTCTCTGCAATGAAGGCACCTGTGAATGCTGTTAAAGATGATGATATTCCAGGAAGGTTGCCATGAGCTCCAGCACTTAATGGCACCTTTGAGAGGGAATCTGTGAGTAAGAGGAAACACATATGCCAATTGCTGGCTGAGCAAAAAAATACATAAGGTTTACATTAAGGAAAAAAGCATTCATGTCCTCTATAATACAGTAACAGCAGCAAAGAAGGATTTTGGACTTTAAGTAGATGCTGAATAATAAGCCTTTCTTATTTTGAGCGTTAACAGATGCTATAAAAACTAGCAGTTCTCATTACTCAGTGGCTGCCTTATAACTGTATGAAAGTTGTGCACATGAATAGGTAGTCTGAGAAATTAGAAATACTCATTACAAACGAGACACCAGGCTTATGCATATGTCCTTGGGTTTTAACAATCATTTTTTGTTAAAGTAATATTCAAGTTTCTGCCTACTTTTTGTTTGTTTTAAAAATACCATTTGCCAGGTGGGTTGCTGCCAATCAGAGTGCCCCAGTTTGGCTCTGGCAGGAAAGCAACTGCTTTGATGTATGGTTCCACAGCAGCCTGACCTAAGATCAGCATTGCTGTGCTGCTCCTAAAAGCAAAACTGTCAGACATATATTTGCTTCATTTTGGGAAAAGGACTGTAAGGGAGATGGTAAGATATAGAGCAGAAATGAGGGAGACAAGACTGCAAGAATACTCACACAGAATGGCTTAATAAAAGGTCATAGAGCAACAGTCTTTGTAGGGATGGTGCCTGCATGAAGTCCTGCTTCCTTTGAAGTGAAGGGCAAAAAGGAATCAGATTCACCCTGAAAACCTCCTCCTCATTTTTAACCCCCCCTGTTTCCTTTCCACACTGTGTACATAACCTTGGGGATTCAAAGCCTGGCTTTTTATCTGCAGATTTACACTGAGGAATGTGATGCTCAGCTCATGTGAGGCATGTGGACCCCAGATGGGTAGAAGCTGGCTGTCTAAATCCTGTTCATCCAGGCTTTCAGCTGGCTGATGTTCACAGCATGCACTGCAGCAGAAGCAAAGGGAACAGCACCAACCCCAGGAGCTCAGATCTGAGTCCACACCTGAACCCAAGGTTGTGTTCATCCTTACTGAATTACAGCTTTGACTCCAGTGAAGGATTAAGATGTGAGCTGTGGTTTACGAGGCCATCAGGGCTGGACTGCCTGAAAGCTGGTCCTACCATGAGTGCCAGCAGCCCGATATTCATGTACACATACAGGCTTTGTGTGTGCTGGCAGAGCCACCCTCTGCCGCTGGAATACTTTCCAAGGCCCACTGCTACTCCTGTGGATGGGAAGGGCAAAGAGGGATAGAATTAATGGAAAAGGGTAAGCAAAAATATACTATGAAAGCATTTGGAATATGTCAAAGGTAATTAAGATGCTGTTGTGCTTCACAGGACCCATGTCATGTTAGACACTTTTCGCTCTGTGCTATGTTATGAGAAAAGATGTAAACTCTGCTTTGTTGCAGTGTGCATATCCCATCATACATCCTATCACAGACTGATTTGGGTTGCAAGGGACCTCAAAGCTCATTCAGTTCCAATCCCTGCCACGGGCAGGGACACCTTCCACTAGACCAGGTTGCATCCAATCTGGCCTTGAACAGTGCAAGAGATGGGGCAGCCACAGCTTCTCTGGGCAACCTGTGCCAGTGTCTCACCACTCTCACAGGAAAGAACTTCTTATTAATGTCTAATCAAAATCTCCCCTTTGTCAGGTTAAAGCCATTCCCCCTTGTCCTGTCATTGCATGCCCTTGTAAAAAGGCCCTCCCCCTTTCTTGTAGGCCCCCAACCATGCCAGGAGACAGCTGGCTTCTCCCACTGGAACTGAAAGCATGAGTCAGCCCTGGTGTTTGGGTGCTTTGTCTCTTAAGCCAAAATCAGGTAAATCCAGGCACAGCAGCTGATGCCCTACTGTCACACAGTGACAACGCTGCCATGGAAAGGCTCTGTGCAGACCCTAACACTTCGGACACACAACTGCATGAACTGTCCTCTCCGGTGACCTCCAGAGGCCATGGGCAGTTGGTTAAGAAGTAAGGGAAGGTACTAGCAGCCAGCTGGTCAGAGGTGATTGCTCACCTCTGTAAGCTGGTGCCAGGAAGGTACGTGATGCCACAACACACCTTAGAGCAGCAGTTCCACTCTACACACCACAGGTCACTTGCTGACTAGGAGACTACTTGCCTTCCAGCACTGTTTTGCTTTTCACAGATGCAGGCTCCCTCTGGCTGGTGGGAAAGAGCTAAGCACAAGGCAGTCAGTATGTTATTGCTCACCACAGTCCAGAAAAAGTTGGGAATCATTCTCTGAATTTGTGTTTGTCCATATTGCTTGTTCGGTGCCTGAAACTTGTTCCACAGCAGCAATCTTGTGCCCTGTGGAAGATTCTGACTGTCCCAGGTAAAAGAACACTTTCAGGTGGTGAGAGGTGGGAAGCAGCTGTACTAGAGCTGCGCAGGACAAAGGCACTTGCTACAGATGTTGCTTGTTTGAAGAACAAAGAAGGAAAACAATGTAAAATTGACTTTTCCTTAATTTCCCCTTTGGCTTTGCTTGATGTCACATCTGAGGGCATAAATGTCTTCAGCATTAAAAATATAGTGCAGCTCTCCAGGTGATGGCTGTGAGACACAGTCTGAGGAACACTGGCACTGTCTGCTTCCCAGAGAAATCATCTTGAGATACCTTCCCTGCTTTCCCCTCTCCCCCACTATCCCCTATGCTCTCTACCTGTCTGGCTGCTTCCCTGTAACATTTCAGCCCTGAAGGAAGTCACCAGTTCATGGGTAAGTAACGCTGACTTCTGGAAACAGAATAAAATAAGGAATGTCAGAGGTCTGTGCTGGCTTCTGTGAGCACAGAACCTCTCCCCTGGGCATCCCCATCTGCATGGAAACCTGCAGTGATCTTCAGGAGTTTACATTCCCAGACATTAGCAGCAGTTTCATTATACTAGCTGAAGCAAGAAAGCTCTTAGCAATGCCACTACCCTTTGGGCTCTAGATCAGTCCTCACTGGAATGGAGGCCCAGGAGCTCCTCAGCCAAGCTGATGAGACCATTTTCTTCCAGGGCTGCGATGAGCCGTGCTATCGTGGCCTTCTGCCCCTCTGACTCCCTAAACCTGAGCAGCAGCTGGTAGGCTTGTTCATACAGTCCCTCTCGATCATACTCGAGAGCCAGGTTATCAATGACAGGATCACGCAGGGCCCGGCAGTTCTTCTGCAAAGAGCGGCCCACTTGCTTCCATTTCTTTGACACAAGCTTGGCAAACTTCTGGTGGTCGTCTGGTGTGAGCGTTCTGTTGTCTGAAAGGGACAGAGGGCAGGTAAAACACAGAGGTTCCACAGCTGATGTGATGCAGCTTGGCCCAGTCCAAGGTTTGCTCAGCATTCTGCGCAGCAGGGAGTCTGTTCAGTGTCCAAAGGACATCACTGAAACACTGTGGAGCTGCTCTGCTTCTCCTTGGTGGTTTAACACCAGGGCAGCACTGCAAGCTTGGAGCAGAAGTGCCAAAGCAGTGAAGATAAAGGGGATGCCATGGGCAGGGTTCATGTACATGTGTCTGTACTCCAACAGCATTCCTCCATCACTGGGAAGGGAAAATCAGCTGGAGTAAGCCTCACCACATAGTGTCTCCCTGCGCTCTCTGTGTAAGCTGCGCAGCTGTGCTCTCCATGTAGTCTGCCAGTCCAGAGCAGTGCTGGTGCCTCAGGTGGCAAACTGGAGCATGTGGTGACACACTTACCTGCTCATGGCCATCTGCCCTGGCACATCTAAGCCCCCTGCCTTGATTAGGCCTTTCCCTTAATGGGAAAACAGGTTGAAGGCTGACCTGAAGCAGTACAGCAATATCTTAGGACTACTGTAATTCCTCCCTTATGGGATGCCGGGAAACCCCTGATTTACCTGAGACCCCAATATGCTGTTACATTAATACTCCCTCTTGGGCTTTGAGATGAGGAAGACCAAGGGTGCTCTTGGTCAGCTCTAGCTACTCACCAAACTCTCGTCCCTGAAAGGTGAAGGTGACTTGTGGGGAAAGGGGGTTGCCTTGAGAAGGGCCAGGTAGAGATGGGGAGTTGAGAGATGTGCAATCTTTTACAGCCGTGTTGTTGTTGATGCTCTGGTGAACAATCAGGCTCTCGAGGCATTCCTCAAGCTCTGTGATCTCCTCATCCCGTAGACGGTCTGGCTGCAATGCAAACAGCATCAGTGACGTGTGCCAGGTCCATTGTCTTGTGAAGCCGTAGATGCTTAGCAGGAAGGTGCAGCTTAAGATGTTGGTGCCAAGAGAGGAGCAATGAGATAGCTAGAGTGCAGATTATAAACTGACTCAATAAGATACTCTAATGGAGTTCTGGCTATAAATGTGTGAATTTGAATTTGTAATGTGATACGACATAGGCAATTTTGCCCTCCTGAGTTTCTCACGTGCAGCAGTGAGCACTTACAAGTTGCACAAAGCTGGTACAAGTCCATGTTTATTTTCAGCAGCCTTCTGCAAGAATTAGGGTGCACCAGAGGCAGCATGGATTTCCTGCCTTACTCCACATGAGGATCAGACCCACAGAATACGGTGATGTGATCCAACAGCGCATGGCCACCAAAGCAGGCAGCTCCTGCTGCCCCTTCTCTCATTCTGTGCCTCTATTTCTTAAGTTCTGTTGTTCCTGGATCCAATCCAAGACAGTTTTTCTCACTAACCAAGAGAAAAGTAGTCTGACCTCCAAAAAACAGATAATAGGAAAAAGAAACATCAAAAGCACATGGGAAGAGTCAAACCTGGTGGCTGATCTGACTCAGTCTATTGTTTAGCTCACATACAGCAGGTACCCAGCACTGCCCTCAGACACAGATGCCTCTGCCCTGGTGTCATCTGTCTGACTGCTGCACTGTTAGGCACAAATAAGACTAAGTTCTCAGTTTGGGGAACTGAGAATAAGCCCATCTCCTTTGTCCAGTCAGATAGTTCAGCAGAGGAGGGAGCAGAAAGCAGAAGTTGACAAGCTACGGGATATCACATGTTTGGTCCAGGGCTGAAATGTTTGCATTTCATTCTCTGTGCTTGCAGAAAAGCAACCTGGCACAACATGCTCCTGTGCCTAATCTTCCCAAGCAGATGGTGCCTACCTATTTCCCAGCACCATCTGGAAGGAACTAGAGCTATAAGGTGTTGCTAGTTCCAGGTGGAAAAAAAGAGGAGAGGAAAAAGGCAATGAGTTTAATCACATCCAACTGCCTTGGTTGTGAGGAAAGATGTCAAGATCTTATTGTTCTTGCTAGCAGGATTAGAATGTTAGTGCCAAAGCGTGCGATGAGCTAGACTTCAGATGTTGCTCCCAAAGGACTTTGCCTTCAGAAGGGCAGCCAATTCCTGCTCGCAGCACATGCTGTGTCCCCCACTCTGTCACAAGTTGGTATAATGTGCAGACTGTTTGCACTCAGGCTCATTTCTAGGTGCAGTTGCCACCGCTGCTCTAAGGTGTGCGAGGTGGTGAGGAAGATGCTGAGCACTGGTCATTCCACACTCTGCCTGCCTTGCAGGTGTATTGAGCACACACTTCTTTGTGCTGTCAACTGCACCTTCTGTAATTTCTCATTTTAGCAGTGATAACACACATCTGAGCCACATTGTTATACACAGAAACCACAGTGATTTAGAAGAATCTCTGTAAGCAGTTTTAGGCTCTTTTCTGGTGAAGGTAGAGCTTACCCCATATTATAGCTGAGAACTGAAGGATAAAGAAGTCACCAAACCAGCACGCTGCAGCAGAGCAATATTTGCACCCATCTTCCTGAGTCTTGTGCTACTGCTCCTCATTGCTGCCTGTACTCCCTCCCTCTCCCACTCACCTTTTCTCTGTAGATACATTCCAGGCAGTGATTCTCATCCTTCAGCATGCTGTCGAGGTGCTCACTGCCAGCCTTCAGCTCCATTTCAAGAGGCACTGTACTTATGGCTAAGGAGAGCTGGAGGTGTTTCTGGAGGGACTCCTGGAGCTCTCCTTCCCGGTAGCTCTGCAGGAACCGGCGGCAGTTCTCCTGCTTGCAGAACTTGAGCTGGACTATCAGGTGCGGGTGGCTGCAATGCACTTTGAGCATGTCCACACCATTTATGCTGCCGGTGGAGTCTGGTGGGGAGAAGTGAGCAGAGTCACTATCACACATGAGACGGACAACCCAGACCCACTCCCATCCACCTCTAAGCCTGCAATGGAGCAGCTTTTGAATTGTCATCTCTGTGCTGATGTCCTCTGTAATTAAAAACCTGTGTGTAAAATCAAGAGGAAAGGATTAAGTTTTTGCTGCCCTGCCTCCATCCATCTCATGAAGTATGGTGTCCAGCTGAAGACCTATGGTGCTACACATCAGGTAATTATCTCAACACTGTTCATTAGGGGAGGTTTTAAGTTTGAGGTTCCATTTCCAGGACAGAAATGGTTACAGTAAACTGCTAACACAGGGAAGTTTTACACATGAAAATGCATATTCCAGCTGAATGCTCAGTCATTCTTCAGTCCTTGTGACTGGAGTTTTAAGAAGTGATGAAGGTCCTGGAAAGATACCCAGCATCTCCTCTCCACCCCATGCCTGGAGGTAACTTTTGGCTGGCACTGAGCCTTCAGCACCTCTCACAAATGGGGAATGATGGATTCAGCCATAAGAATTAGGCTGCTTGAGACTGGGCTTTGACTTGTTAAGCTGTTTTGCACAAAGAATTAATGGTAAAATCTAAGCAAGAAGCAGTCAGGGATGTACCCTCTGATATTTGTTAGTCCAGGGGGAGCACAAGCACCATGGACAACAGAAATCATCCAGCCTTCAGTCTCCCTTCTCCCAGCAAAATTTAATTTTGATCAGCTGTGCACATGACCTTGTCTCCTCAGAGATTTTATATGATGATGATGACAGTTTACAGTATGTGTTTCTCTCTTTTATGCAGCAGAGGCCTGTGTGAGGCTTCCTGTACTGCTTCCGGATCTGAATTAACCTCTTGGCCTGTTGTTGTCAGGGCTATATGGAGGTACCAGCAAAGACTTGCTCTACGTCAGGTATTTCTAAACCACATGTCATGGCATTCTTTAGACATGCTTGAAGGACAATAGTAAGGCAAAGCAGACTTGGGTGTTCCACATTAGGCAGAATAAGTGACCTGGCATTTAAAAGCATGTGATCTAACAGTGGCTTTACAGGGTTAACTGAGTCTTGGTTGTATCAGAAAGTCTAGTTTGGACCAATCGTGTAACTGGGACATGAAGCTAGGCACCTAGGAGAGGCATTTTAATTCACTGTCGCTGACTAGAAATGTCTTTTTATTCCTTTCTTCATGCTTTGTTTTTTGTGAGTGCTGGTCGAACAGAAGTTTCCATAACAGGGTAAGAGGGCTGGGAAGGGAAAAGCTGCACAGACATGGAAACCTCTGTGAATGCTGTATGAGAGAGCTGTGAAGCTACCTCAAAAGAAAGGACTTTGCATGCTTTTCTTCAAGAAACTTCTGCTTCAGATTTCATGTCCTTTTCAGGTCTGAATAAGCATCCTAGGATTTAGTGGTTTCATGGGCTTTAACATGTGAGCAGATTCACATTCCAATGACACAAAGCAGCCATAAATCGAGCCTAACAGGACAACTGTGTTCAGTCTCCTGCTGGTTCCCATCTTCAGATTGAGCTGCAAGATGAGAAGCCTTGTACTGGATAAACTAGCGACTTGGACAGGCTCATGATTGCCAGAAGAAATTACAGAACAGTTACACAAGCCCCATTAAACAACATGGGCTCAGCTGTGTGACAGGTAAAGAATACCAGGAGAATTTTTCTAGGCAAGTATTATAAACTCTTCAAATTACTATTATTCTGTGGTAAGCTTGGTGCAAAGGTGGATAGAGAAATATAGTTTTATGGCCATTTGCACCTCAAGTCCTTTTTTTTATGTAAACACGGTTATATACACTTGAAGCTAATGTGTTTGTGCCTCTTTATATCAAAAACCAGCTCAGTTGAACTTGCTAACACTGAGTTTAAAAATAAGCTTCTCAAAGCAGCCATTTCTGTGGTGGTACAAAGACAGGAAATACATCTTCTTTCCTAACCTTTTTCTCTCTTATGTTAATGGGTTTAAACAAACATTCATAAATGGAGGATAACTCATAGAATAGTTCAACTTGGAAGGAAGCCCAGGAAGTCTCTAGCCCAACCTCCCATGAAAAGCAGGATCAGCTCTGAGGTCAGACCAAGTTGCTCAGGGCTTTATCCAGTCCCATTCTGAAACCCCCGAAGGACAGGAAATACACAGTCACTCCAGGCAACTGCTTGACTGCCCTCATGGAGAAAATATTCTTTCTGTCTAGTGTCTACCTCTCTTGTTTCAGTTTTTGGCTGTTGACTCCCATTCCCTATGCACCACTATGAAGAGTGTGGCTCCATCTCCCCTCCCTGTAGGTACTGGCAGAGACTAATAGGTAGGTCTTCCAAAGCCATCTGTTCCCCAGAATGAAATGGTCCACCTCCCTCAGCTTTTCCTCACAGGACAAGTGCTCCAGCCCCCAAACATCTTGGAGGACCTCTGCTGAACTTGCTCCACAGTCTTTCCTAAATACAGTCAGCAACCATCTTTCCTTACTCAGGAGTATGAGACTGAAGAAAGGCTGTTATTACCTGAAGAGATGAGATAGTGTGACAAGGTATCAGAAAGGATGGGTACCTGCTAACGCCAGCTTCAGTGCCTTGAACACACTAGGTTTCTTCTGGGAGCTTTCGTAGAGAGATGGCAGAATGATGGTCTTGCACGTTGACTGGAGGAAGAGATAAGCACAGCCAATCCAAGGAGCAGAGCTGTTTGCCATCTTCAGCACCCTACAAAACACTCAGGTGAGCTGAGAGACCACAGGGAAAATGGCCTGATGCTGGGCAAGTGCTTACAGCACAGATTATGGGGATTTACCCTCATTTCCTAGAGGAGGAGGTGATCTTAAAGCAAGTGTCACCTTTGAGGAATTTACTCTTATTCTGTAAAGCACAGCACAGTGGGGCATGGTATCCCAAAGACTCATCAGTTCACAAAGCTCTGCTTTACTTTTACATTTTGTAGTCCACAGATAGTCAGAACCAAAAGATTTCAGTCCTTGTGCCTCTACCTGCCCAGTCAAGCTAGCAAAGTTTAAAGGTGCACAGTTGGGGTGCTTCAGGGGGCACCCAGCAGTCCTGATCTGGCACGTTCACAGAGACTGAAGCCCTAATGCAGGCAAAGATAAACCAAAACACTTTTTGGCTCAACTCCAAGGCATAGGTCCTGTCCCCTCTTTGACTGCTTGTGTGTGCCTCTGGCACACCATCAGACGCTTCCCCACAGGTACCCTTCCTTCCAGCTTTCTTCCCAGTTGTACAAACCCAACAACCTACTCTCGGCTGCCAAATATTGACAGTGTAACTGCTGGACATGACAGTGTCCCTCTCTTCAGATGCCCTTTAGCTTGGGGGTGCGAAGGTATTTTGTCACCAGGGACTGCCAGCCTGAGAAGGATGAGCTCCCATGGACTGTCTGTCCTCCAGATGGTAGCTGAGGCTGGGAACCATTGCCATCCTTTGCAGCATGTCCGACAGAGTACTGGAACATATGGCCCACCCTGTTTCCTTCCTAGAACCTTGAACCTGCGCCCAGAACAGGAGCCTTCTACTTGTTCAGAAAATACAGGAAATAACCAGTGAATCATAAAATTCACACTGAACATGGAGATGAAGGAGTGCCTGCAAGATGCAGGAGGGATTGTTTCCAGGCTGTGGACTACACAACACACAAGGTTTTTAGGAAAGCATCTCGTAAAGAAGAAAGAGGAGGACGCACTGCTGCTGCAGCTCAGGTTTGATCTGAGCTTCCAAACACCGGGAAGTGTGGGATCTGGGCACTCATCTCCTAGTGTCTCATAGAATGAAGGTAACAAATCTGAGTGACATCTTACAGACATGGAATGTTTAAAACATTTAACCCACAGATTGATTTATCTTTTCCAGTGCAGATGCCCCAGAGCTCCCAACCAGCGCAGAGGCATGTGCAGTGTGAGGACCCTGCTGCCCCTGTACCCCTTCCCCACACAGACCAGGCTCTTGCTCCTCAGCAGCTGCCTGGTTCCACTCGGCAATGCTGGGGAGCCTGGAAATGACACCAAAAACTCAGGTAAGGAGCCCTTTGCTGCTGTGCCTTGGCAGTGCTATCCCAGCAAGTGAGTTCTCCGGCCCATTCCCAGCCGGCAGCGGGGACCCTCGCTGTGGGTTTGAGCAGCAGCAGCGGTCAAACTGTTTGGGGGTGCTGTGGAAAAGCCAGCCCCAGGCAATACAGTGTGCGCTCACCGCTGCCTGCAGTCCTTTGCTGTCAGGCCGCTTCTCAATTCCTGTAACAAACTAAGAGGGGAAGGTAGAAGACCTAGGCGCTGGAGCAGCCACCGGCCCGCGGCGACAGCCCCGTTCTCCCGCTGCCCGCCTGTCCCTTCCCGGTTCGCTGCCGCTGCAGGGCCCCGCCGTGTGTCAGCGCCGCTCACCCGCCCAACGAACGCCCCGACCCCGCCGTGCGACAGCGGGGCAGCACCGGGGAAACCCGACCCGGCTCGGCCCGGCCCGGCCCTGCCCTGCCCTGCTCTGACCCGACCCGGCGGGACGCGTCCGGCCCGACCCACCCGGTCCCGCGTCTCCGGCCCCGGCCCTGCCCGGCCCCTCTCCCGCGGTAGCTTCGGGCCCGCTATCCGGCTCCGGGCGCTTTTACCTCCAGCCACCGCCGCTGCCCGGCCTCGGCTCCGCCACTTCCGCCTCTGCGAGGCGCCGCCCGCTGCTCTGCACGTGGGCCGGGCGGGGTAACGGGGAAGCAGGGCCGGGGGAACGCGAGCAAGCCTGGTGCGGGGCGAGTGTGCGGCCCCACCTCCCGTGCCAGCCCTGCGGGGCCGGCCCGGCCCGGCGGCGGCGGCGCTGTGTGCTGGAGAGGCCTGAGCCGGTCCTGCCGTGCCTGGACACCTCCGGGTCTCCACGCACAAGGCTGCAGATCACCCATCACCCTGTAGGTGAGGATCTAGAAGATGGTTAGAAAGGGCTCTGGTCAGAGAGCTGAGCCCGAGTGGGGCTGGCTGCGTGCCCCTGGTCCTTAGTGATGGAGGAAAACGAGGTGTTGGGATAACCTCTGTAGCTTGTGGCTGATGGCACTGCAAGGCTGATGAGTCCCAGCTGGCTCTCGCCTGCTTTCCCCCGTGGCACTGCTAAAAGAGTGAATGGTGAAATGAAGATCGGTTGGGTTAATCAGCCCTGAAAGAAGTTCAGCTATTAGACCATCCATTTCCTGGAGCTCACCTTTAAAAGGTGTTCTCAGATAATCTGTAACTGCAGCATCTGTAACAGCATCCAGAGTGTGCTCAGGAGGGGAGAGAGGTTCATGGTGTGGAGTTTCCTTCTCCAGACAAACCCATCAGGCTCAACAGGACACTTCTGTCTAAGAGTGCAGTGGGTGAAGAAGGAAAGCTCCCAGTAAAAAGGAACAGGGAGTCTGGCACTGTTTATGGGAGCAGCACTGATGGGAAGGGACCTCTGGGACCCTCCTGAGCAAAAGCAGAGGTGATGCTGAGCTCTGCAAGCAGGTGGGGACATGGGCCTGGCCCTTGTGTTGCTCCCAGAGGAGCTGTGAGGTGATGGTGTTAACATGGTTGCTGAATTCTGCTGGGTGTTCTGGTCTAGTCCTTCCTGCAGTGATACCTGCAGGATTTCCCTCCTCTTTCTGAGCCAGCTGAGGCTGTTAACTCCACAGTGCTCCTCTGACAAGCTGAATGCACAGGTAGAGAGCATAAAGCAGCTTTTCTCGAGTCCATGAGAGGTTCAATAGTGAGCAAAGCAAGGAGCTGAATTTGGGTCTCTGTTGGTGAGCCTCTGTTAGCAGTTTCCTGCCCAGGCTGTGTTTGTCTTGCCTGGAGGCCCTCCCGCAAACAGAGGGGTAACAGCAGCAGCTCTCTTGTTTGTCCCCAGCTGGTGAGGGCCTGAGGCCAAGTTTTGTACCTGCATGTTTGCTGCTGTCACTCTGGCTCAGCAGTCAGTTTGTGACGGCTCTCCAGAGAGCTGGCATTCAAACAGAAGTGGAAAGCATTCTAAAATATTTCTTGTATATACATATGTGTATGTAATACATATAGATTTAATGCTATTTTACAACAACAGTATTTTAACAATATAAGCTCTTTTGATTGTCAAAGCAAAAACTTCACTGAAAGGAGTTAATCCAGGCTGGTCTCTTGGGTGCTGTGGTTTGCAGGGAGAGGGGCAGGCAGCACCCACCAGCCCCTTAAGCAGCAGCACTGCCAGTGCTTCTGAGTTTACCTGCTGAAAGTTCAAGAAGCAATACATGAGTTCATGCATTTAAGGGTTAATGAGGTTAAATGAGCCCAGATATCCCAACATTCCCCCACAAAAGCAAGCCTGAAGCAGCTCCCAGAACCAGGTAGGAAGTACAGGGTGAGGTGCTGCATCACCCGCGCAGGTCCCGCAAGCATTTTCTCTATGAAGGTAATGTATTCTGTATATATGAGGGGTCAAAAACCTGAAAAGGTGGCTGCGACCTGAGTTCCTCTGTCTCTGGTGAGTGACGGCTTTCAGGGAGCAACCCACTGGGTGAAGTCCAAGTGTTTGATAAGCACTTGGTGTTTCACCCTGTTGCTTTCCATGTGGGAAGGAAAGGTTTCAGGTTGGGGGCTGGTTGGGCTCAGCGGGACTTGTGTGTCGAGATGCAGTGGTGTGTCTTCATGGAGAATCCTTGGCTGGGGCAGGACAAACTCCCCTTAAGCTGGCAGCTGCAGTGTGGAAGAGTCAGTGCTGGGGCCCTTCAGGGAAGTGGGGTGTTAAGTGGGGTGGGTATGGGTGCTGGAGCAGTAGGAGGACGGGGTGCTCCCATCGAGGAGAGCACAGCGTCCGGGCAGGGAAGGGGCCTCTCTCCCTGCTGTTATTTTTAGCATCTCCTCCTCCGCTCCTCCCTCTGGGGCGCAGCCGGAGCTGGGAGCCGCGGGCAGCCGGCACAGAGGAAGAGGGGCTCTGCTCCAAGAGGTACGAGAGCTGTGCCCTTGCCGCGGGTACTGGCGGGGGTGCCGTGGCGGGGACGCTATGACGGGGGCTTCGCTCACAGCGCTGGGCATCTCGCCTGAGCACAGCACCGCCTGTTCCTGCCTGGGCCGCGGCCGCTCGCTCCCAGCCTGCTTCCTTGTGCTGAGAGCTGACGAAGCTCAGCGCCGCGGCCAGCAGCAATCCCCGGCCCTATGAGATCCGAGGTGGTCCGAACCCTGCCGTCCTCACCGGGCAGGCACCCAGGTTGGAACTAAGCCAAGGCACCGCACTGGCCGGCCATTAACTGTGCTTCTCAGTGACTGGGTCATTTGCTTCATTAAAGTAGCACTAATAATTTTGTCTTTCTGCCTGCCTTCCTGCTCTCAGGCCATGTTTTTAAGCTTTTCCAAGCAATCACTACATCACTCTTACTTTCTAAGAGAGTCAAGGTCCTTTTTGCATGGCTCCAAGGGCTCAGGCTTTAAGGAAAAATATCATAGTGAAAATTAAAGGAGCTGAGCATGTGAAATTTCATGTAGGGCAAAGAGCAGTTTAACATTTAATCACATGGTTTAGCCGTGGACTTGGCAGTCCTGGGGTAATGGTTGGAATTGGTGATCTTAAAGGGCTTTTTCAGCCTGCCTGAGTCTATGATTTTGAGAGGCATGTATTACAGGCAGTGTTAAAAGCAGCTAAAAGTAGGAAAGTCTGAGGTGATTGTCAGAGAAAATGCTAAAACAAGTTCCTGGGAAGGAAGCAGGACTGTAGCCCTTGGCTGTTGTAGCTCTCGCTGGGTGGAAAGGGGGTTGTCACTGATACGATGGTAGATAAGATAGCAGAGCTGCTATGCTCCTGCCACCTCACACTCAATGAGTCACACTTCAAAGCTATTCTAGAAAAATGTGCAGTTGTGTTCCTCCCTGCATTTTGCTTTCTGCATCATTATTCCCTACTTCCTTCATGGTTTCAACTCTTTTCCTGCTTCGAGAATATCTAGAAGTGCATGTTTTCATTCAACTGAAGCCAGCGATGCTGAGATAATGCTGTGATGCCAGGCACTGGGGCTTCAAAAGCAGGAGGGTATGCCATCAAACTCAGATTGAGATCCACACTCCAGTGCTAGCCTAGGAAGGGGAGTGTTCGCATTAAAAAAACCCTTTGAAAAAATATGTCATGTTGATGGTTTTATTTGTGGGGGAATCCAGAAGATGGGTACAACACACTTTGGAAGAAGGCGAATGAAGAAGTTAGGTAGTCTGATGCTACAAACCTCAGCCTTCTTCCCAGGCATTTAGTCTTCTGCATTATATTTCACATGAAAGGTTGATTTCTGAGAACTGGGTTCACAGTAATAAAACATTTTTTTTCAGACTTTCAGATCTCATCACAGACAAGAACCATTGTAATTCAGCTGCTGGTCTCTACAATAGGCCTCCTGCATCACTGTCAGTAAAAAATGGGTATGTGAGGCTGTTTTCTCCTGTAAAGTATCACCCAGCTTCTTAGGACTGGTTGAAAAAACTGTGCAAAACAACTAGTCAGTAGATTCCCTCTTTTTTTGTGTGTTCAATTTAAAAATTCAGTGGAATTTCAAAGTGGAAAAACTTTTGACCTCTTTTGTGATCCAGCTGCAATGGTTTGATGTGTTAAATAAATCCTAATGTGTGTCTGTCTTTTCTTGTTTTGTTTTTCTGAACAGAGACTTTTGAGAATTAATTGCAGCTTTGGAAGTTTCTCCCGCTTTTACTCCTGGCTGAATCAGGAAAATGCCTGCTTCAGTTCCAGAACTGGGGAACTGCATTCCAGAAGAAATCCTTATCCAGATTTTCCATTATCTTTCTCTTCGAGATAGATACACAGTCTTCCAGGTGTGCAGACAATGGGCTGCAGCTGTATCTTCTAGCTCTGTCTGGTACTTCACAGAGATCAGGTAAGAGGAATGGGGTTCTAATGTCAAAGTATCTTTGCAGGTGCAAGTAGATCATTGTTTCCAGTGATTGTCAAACATTTGCTATGACATTATTGACATTGTGATTTCTATGTGTGATGATATTACCTTAAATGTATAACACCTGTTTATATACAATGGAGAAAGTTGTGTTATGTGCTGTGTTTTTTCAGTTGCTGCTAATGGTTTGAGTTCTGTGGGAAATGTTACATTCTTAGATACCTTGTTCCAAGTTGCTATTTGTAAATGACAAGGGACAAAGTTACTGAATTGTTATCCTTCTCCTGATACTTCTGATGGGTCTTTCTGGGAACTGACTCTTCTCACCTCCTGACTCCTTCAGTGTTTGGCCTCACAATGACCCTCCAGGCAACAAGGGTGAAGAAACGCCTGGGGGATCTTGTTGATGTTTGCAGAAGCACTGGTAAAGAGGAGCATCTGCTCTGTGGTCACCAAGCTCAGCATTCACAGTGGCTGAGAGTTTGTTTTCCCTTCCAGCTGTGATTCAGAGGATGAGGAAGCCATGCTGCAGAGCCTGCTCCAGTTCCTCAGCCAAATTAAGCACTTGAAGATTGTGTTTGACCAGTCCAAGGAGGTCAACCGGAAGAATGTCACACGCATCTTGGATGTGTTGGCGAAGCAGAACCACAAGCTGCAGCAGCTCTGCATTGTGTGCCATGGGGAGAACCCCTATTTCTACTCTGGCCAGGACATTCTACAGAGCATACAAAATATTTGTGACACTAAAAACCAGATGGATCTTCAGCACATTGATTTTCGGCAAATGCCTTTCACTCTCAATGGTGAGCTTGTTGAGCTCTTAGCTACCACTAACCCAAACCTGCACAGTTTGTTCATCAACAACCGCACTCTGGTGTGCAATGTGGCTCCAGACACCATTAGGAAAGTTCTCAGAGCATGTCCCAAACTCTCAGCCTTGGGGGTTTACTATGCCAGTTTGTCTGACAGTGTATTTGAGGAGCTGCTCAAGCCTGAAAGAGCAACTTTCACCCATTTAGACATTTTCTGCGAGCGTCTGGATAAATATATACCAGTGATCTCAGAAGAGCTCTGGGCTGCTGTAAGCCAAAAGCATCCTCGACTCTGTGTGGACATAGAGTTTGATCATACAGTCCCTGCCTGCAAAATACCATGCATCCTAAAGCTGAATATACCCGTGAGCACACTGCAACTTAACACCTATAATTACATGGTAAATCAGATTAGGTTTGTCACCCAGAACTACAGCAGTACTTTAAAGAAGCTGACGCTGCAAACCACCTCCTCGGAGGACTTAAATTCATCTCTAGTGGATCTGGCTAGACAGTGCAGAAATCTGTTGGAGATCCACTGCTACTGCGTGGTCAGCCAGGAGGTGGTAGAAGCATTCCTCACGCACTGCCCCAGTCTGAAACAGTACACTCTGAAGGTCACCAAGGAACGGCACCCCTGGAAACCAGTAACAATACAGTGACCAGTCTTTTTAGTTCTGTTTCTTTATGTAGCACGAAAACCAGATTCACCCTTTGCAGGTTTTTACTGAGGAGCTCAGTGAAACTTCATTTCGATTCTACATTTTAAAAGAACCTCTAAGTCAAGCACTTCATGTCAGGCACCCAGCAACCACTTAAATAGGCAGTTGAGGAAGTGGCAGCATCAATGCAGCCGTTTCCTGCCCAGTGGGGTACTTCGCCGTGGAGATTCAGTGAGCTATAGCAATGAACTGTGGTCATCTGATGGAAAGTCCATTCTAACCTTTAATTCCTCTTTTAGCATTTCAGTGATGGGGAGCTCACCTGTTATCAGGTAACTTCCAGCTTGGAGGGATAGAACAGGAGATGAATTATGTTAGAAAATCCAGGCAGAAGAAAAAGCACTGAAGGAAAACAGTTCACCAGGTAGTAATAAAAGACATGTAGTCTGCAAATTTCCTTGTCCATCTTGTCTTTCTCTTGCTCAGAAATGCAGATTTCCGGGTTGTAAATTTGAATGCAAACACCTTTGCTTTTATTACATTGTTAGTATTTCTCAGGAGAATCAAGAGAACTAACAGTTTTTGCATCTGATATCTGCGTTCACATGCAAGTTACCTTGCCTCTGAATTAGGAGATGTGTGTGTTGGTCTATTGTAACAAAAATTTTGGTGAATGCTAGTTTCTGAGTTGAAATGACCGTGCAATAAAGCTACACTGGGAGCACATATTTAGAGCTACCTAAAGCATTTATAATAACAACAGTAAGAAGAAATAATAAAAATAAAAATATTGTCAACATCTAGATTCGATGTGTAGCTGTTTTTATCACCCTTTCTTCTCACCCAAGAGCCAAATAATTTCTCTTGCCAAGTAACATGGGATCTGTAGCCAAACCAGCTTACAATTCTGACTTTTCAGAACCTTGCTGGAGATGTGCAGTCCTTAGGTCTGGCCAGCACTTGTTCATCTGTGCCAGCCAAAGTTTAGGACAAGGGATTTCCAAAACAGCAATTCCCATGTCTTCCCCAGCCAGGCGTTGTGCCTGCGTGTCCCAGAGGCTCTCAGCAGTGGAGTCAGCCCGGTGAGTTGCCAGGCTCCCAGCAGAAGGTGCTCAGCACGTGTTCCCTGTGCATGACGCTGTGTGTTTATTCACAGTGCTGAGAGATCGGCTGCAGTGCACTTTCATTCTGTGTATTGTTCTCCAGGGCTGGTGATGCCATCGCATTGTGCTGAGTTTTGAAGAGTGTGAGCAGCACTGCTGATGTGACTCCCTGGGAGCCTACTTTCCACTGGCCCAGGATAAAATTGGGTGGTTGGTTCTCTGAACCAACGAGCAATGGGGTTGGAGTAGCTGGGACGCTGGGACACTGGAAAACTATGCAGGATTCACCCAGCTCTCTGGTAATGGATGGATACTCCAGCAATGTGCCAGCCTTCCTAACCAAACTCTGGACGTTGGTGGAAGATCCTGAAACGAACCATCTCATCTGCTGGAGTACTGTAAGTACAGCAACTATGGGGTGTCACCAAGTGCCTGCACTTGGTGCAGAAAAAGAAAAACCCAGGTTCAAGGCCTGAGCACTGCATTGCACAGCAACTTCCCTTTGCTTTACAGTGCTGATGGCTAGCTGGGAGAGTGAAAGGACTGAGATTTCATTAGGAAGCCTTTTGGATATACTTGATATTGTTTATCTGCAATATTGTGGCTTTTCTGTTTGAAAGGGACAACTGGTTTGAGAGTATTTTAGTAACGATATATACACATTTCACTTGAAGCATCTTAAAGGGTGTCTGATACTGAATCTTGTAAAAAGCCAGACTATTTGAGGGAGGTTTTCATTTCAATTGAATCTTCACTTTCCTAAGATCTTCTAGAAAAGGTGCAAAGTCCTTAAAAATTTCCACTGCTGTTTTTATTACAACTAAGAAACACACGACATTCACAAATGCCTTGGGAGCAGGCAGCAGACAAACACCATTCAGACATCAGGCTAAAACTTACAGTTTAAACAGATCTCAGACTGGCACCCTAAATCACTCGCATTTTGGAAGAGCTTTACTTGATTTTTCAATGAGTCTGTGTGATGATCATGGCGATGTGTGTCTGTACAGCTTCATAAGGATAGATTGCTTTGTTTTGGCTTCTTATTTGTCACTAAGGTATTAATATAGTAAATGCAATCAGATAATTTGAGTTATTTATTTATCCCCCTCATACAGCATTTTGATACCACATTGTGCTTTCGACGTAAGACTTGTTGCAAATAATGTGATTTGTCTTCAGCAGGGAGTTATAAGTCATGGGCATTAAAGTGTTCTCCAAAACTGAGAATCTGTAACAAGAGCAGATTTAAGGGTGCGAGGGAGGGAAGTCTAAAGCAGCCTTTCTCAGCCTTTCTGTCATATATTTGTGTCCAGTAGAGTTTTTGTTGAAGACATGAGGTAGTATTTCAGCTGCATTATTATCCAAGGTAATGGTTGCTTTCTGATGTTGGTATTACATGGCCATACCTCTGAGAATCACCAAGTTTTGGTACCGTGTGTTTTAAATGAGGACTTTCTAGCTTGGAAGGATGTTCTAACATGCATGAATAGTCCCCTATCTGTTACAACATCATTATTTCTGACTCACCACTACCACCATGCTTTGCTTTCCTACAACATAAGCTACAACAAAATTTTAACAACATAACAAATTCTACAATTACAAATTCTAACAAAAGCTACATTCTTGGGAGGTTTTGATAAAGCTTTCAAATGTCTAAGATTCCCAGGTTGCATGTTCCCATGTTTCCCATGTTTTTCCTCTTATATCCTTCAGTGCTGCTGGAGCTGAGAAATTGTGTGCATGCCTAAGATTTCTGTACACAATCAGAACTCTTAGAAAATAGGACCTATGATGGAGAAAAGACGGAGAGGAAACGTGATAATGGTTTATATATACACTGAAGGCAGTTACAAGATGGCAAGCAAAAGTCTGCTGCCTGTGTCCATGGTAGATTGGACAAGCAGTAATAAAATGAGAAGGGTTTTTTTAGGTGGAAGATGCAGTTAGGAAGAACTGGCAAATTCCTGATGTAACTTGCCTGGGCAGGGCACAGGGTGTCTGTCATGGTGTGTCTGTCAAAAACAGTGAAGACAAGCATCTGCCAAGACTGACAGAGTCAATTTTGCTTTGGGCAGAGAAGACTTTCAGAGTTTCTCCCAGGGTGCCCCTGCAATGTAAGTCAAGCTGCTGTATGGGAACAAGCTGGTACATGTAGGGTTCATTGGGGTACACACAGTAACACTGAAGTTTCTAGTGTTTGCAGGATCCCTTTCAGGTGTGCCGGCTTCTGAGTACACTTCAGCCTTAAATGCAAAGGAATGACTTCTCAAGAGAGGCCATAAGGAGATGTTCAGGTCACAAAAGCCTTGTTCTTCTCATTTCACATCAGCATGTGCAGCCTGGGGTGCACAGCTGTATCTCAGAGAGCGTGTGGACAGAAGCACAAGAGAAGCAGGGTAAACCAGGTCTGTCCTCAAGGCAGCCTTTGCAGTGCTGGGAAACCCTGGTCCCTGCTGTCATATTTGCAAGCTTGGTCTGTGAAGATGCTTCCAGCATAGAGGTTATTAGTGAATCTCTTAAGTTCTGGATCAGCCTTTGCTTCTGCTGCAGGGGGTAAGGAATGATAGGAAAAACCCTGGTGATGGTCAAAGGGTGCTGTTGAGGCAAACAGTCTCATACAGTGCCTGTAGCAGTGAACAAGGAGCAAGAAGAACAGCTGACCCAAAGCTGCATGTCTGTGGGCATGCAGGGTTGTTGGAGACGATAAATGAGCCAGGGAACAGAGGGAATTGAGGAAATTCACACTGTTTGGTGATGAAGATGTAGTGGCAACAAGCAGGGTAGCAGGGTTTGCCATGGATGCGTGTTGGGTCCTGCACTGGGCACTCACGGTCCTCTGTCAAGTACCTGTCTGCTGTGAAATAACCCCCCCTGGCTGATACACCACTTGACGGCTGGTGATAATGCTGAACACAGCAGGAGGATGACAGTGGCTGTGCTGGTCTCAGACCCCAGGCTTGCCAAAGTCTTGCAGACCCTGGTGTCTTTGGCTTGCTGTCCCTTGAAACTCGACTGCAGCTGGGTTGGTAAGTGCCTAACATCTGCTGGTGGCTGCACTGGCATAGGTCTCTGTGTCTTACCTGTCTCTATAAAGCTGAGAGCTTAGATTGCACAGCTGGGTGACTCCTCTGGCAGCTCTCTGCAGCTTCTTCTCTACAATCAAACCCAGTGTTTGCCCCTCAATAACTTTCTCTGCAAGTTTACAAAAATGCACCGTGTGCTGCAAAGCCTGAAATCACGATTCTTCATTCCTCCAAATTCCACATGCTGCTCCCCCATCCTGAGCAGAGAGGGGATTTAAGCTGGTTTCCCCAACCCCCATATACTGGAGACATTGAGGCTGCTGACATTAGTCATTTTGAAAGCATTGTTTAAAATTAATTGACACTTCTTCTGTCCCTTATAAATCTTGCATGAATTGCTGTTTGCAGAATGTTTCAAGGCAGCTTCAGCTTGTTGTATCTCACAGGCCCTCTCTGTACGAGCTGAACTCTCAGCGGGTAGAATCCAGGCAGCGAAAGCACATGGCCTGCAGTGTGCCTGTCTCTGCAACAATCCCAGGCAGTTTGCATTCCTTTGCAGTCGTGGATCTCAGCAGTGCAACCCCAGGAGCGGGTATTTCACCTGGTTAATATGGATGTTGCTAGCTTGGACTGTAGAACATAACTGTTAACATACTGCAGGTTGTCCTCATGTCTGTCTGCTTTCAAAGATAATCAGGAGATAGTGCATAGAGCTTCAGGATCAGTGTGGTGTCTCCAGAAATAATGTGTTTTCTTGCCTTACTCTGTTTCTTGTGCCTCGTTTCCAAGCTCCGATCCCTCCAGGACAGCTGTGCTTTGGAGCAGATGGGTTGGGTTAGACCTATGCAAGCAGATGGAGGGGTTATAATGGCAGTTTCTATCTTCCAGGACCTCTTCAGACATCAGAATCTTTCTGTGAGGTCCACACAAGGGGAGCTTATCACAGGCTAACACAATCTGAGTGCAAATGTCTGCAGTTTTTCTCACATCCTAAGTTCTCAACTAAGCAGTGGCAAAGCTTAGTAGGAAAAGATCAAAACTGCAGTCATGGAGGGCTGACTGTACCAGAACTGAAAGGAGCACATGCGTCACTGAAGGATGTTGTCACTGCTCTTATCTTCAAGGTGACAATTCTGAGAGCATGACTTGCCCTGCTGTAGGACTCAAGGGAACCACCATCTCCCAGGGCCCTCCCATAGTCAGGGATGCTCCTCTGACCGCAGCTTTGTCCTTGTCTCCTTTGCAGAATGGCACCAGCTTCCATGTGTTCGACCAAGGACGTTTTGCCAAAGAGGTGCTGCCCAAGTATTTCAAACACAACAACATGGCCAGTTTCGTCCGGCAGCTGAACATGTGTGAGTTCAAACTCCAGAGCCTCACCGTGGGGGTCCTACAGACATGGGGGTGACAGAAAGAGCGGGTGGAAAGGGAGCCTGAAAGAGAAGCGTGAGTAGAAAAGTTGAGATCTCCCATTTATGCATTGTTGGGCATTATTGATTTTCCTGAAGAGGACTTGCCTCTGCATCCCAGACTCCCTTGCACTGACCTTTGATTCCAGCATGAAATTTCTGTTAGATTACATTGTGAGGTGTACAGACTTTAAGTACCAGTTTTTCTGCTTCTCAGGCTGCTTCAATTTGAGAACCTATTTTTATTTCTTTTTGTTTTATTCTATATGTGGCTTTTTTCAGCAGCCTGATACTGTGCCAGCTCCCTCAGAAACTGCTGCTTCTGGGGACAGCATGCCTAGACCTTACCAATTTCACTAGCTGTATTGCTGAACTGATAACACAGTACTTCCCCCTGTAAACCTTGCCTTGCTGATCGTTTTCACTCCTTAAGGCAGGTTGAGGTGTAGTTTCCAGACACATCTAGATCATGACTGTGTTAAGTGTGGTTCTTTTCTGATAGCTTTTGGAAGTTTTTTCAATGACCAATTCATAAAATTCTCCAGTGAAGTTTTAACTTTGATATTTAACTGTACAGTAACAATACTGTACATTTTAGGCCAGCCATTAGATACGGTTTAGAAATGTTTCCAGGGCTTCAGAGAAGTACTCAAAGTAGATTTTTAAATGTGCATGGGACCCCTTTTGGGATCACCTGCAGCTGGTCTGTGCCTTTGAAAATCCTTCTCCTGAATCCTTTGGCTTGCAAATCCCAGACTGGTTTGGGGGAAGGACCTTAAATCTCATCCAATTCCAACCCCCTGGCATGGGCATGGACACCTTCCACTAGAGCAGGTTGCTCCAAGCCCCATCCAAGCTGGCCTTGAACACTGCCAGGGATGGGGCAGCCACAGCTTCTCTGGGCAACCTCAAACCAGAGATTTCATAAGAGTGGATATTTTAGCTCCTGTCAGACCATTGTGCCCGAAGGGTTGCTGGCAAATCCTCCATGGTGTGGGCCAGCAGCGGGGGTGGCCAGTGGGGTGCTCAGTGCTCTCCTTTGTGCTGGATTTCTTGTAGATGTGGCCCAAAAGCATGCCCAGATGCAGGGAGGGGGCACAGCTTGAAAAAGTGGGGGGAAAAAAGTGATGGGGTGGGATGTGAGAAGGAAAGCCTGATATGTCAGCCCTTCACCTGCAACCTCTCCCTGCAGATGGCTTCAGGAAGGTGGTGAACATCGAGCAGGGGGGTCTTGTCAAGCCCGAGCGGGATGACACCGAGTTCCAGCACCTCTGCTTCCTGCAGGGCCACGAGCATCTCCTGGAGCACATCAAGAGGAAGGTGAGGGGACACAGGCTGGGGGGACCCCTGGTGAACCTCTTGGGTGGGAAGAAAGGCTGAGGCATGGCAGATCCCTGGTCCAGAAGGTTCCACACTACCTGTGTGGAGAGGCTGCTTGGTGCATCTTCAAAACATCCCTCAGCAATATGCCCCACAACGTAGTCTCTGTGTGGAGATGTAGCCCTCTTGGTTTGCTTTAAGCCTGTTTCTTTATTTTGTTTCCCTCAGGCTTTCTCCTAGGAGAGAAGTAATGAATACTTGTTTCCCATCCCTCAGGCATCTTGAATAAGAAATGCCCCAGTAGGAGCCTTGGGCCTTTCTAACCCTCCCAAATCCCCTTTTTGGGGGTGGATTGACCAGAACAGCACTCCATGGTCATTGTGAGGGTTTATACCACAGCTGCATTCCTCTCTTTGACTCCCCAAATGCTTTTTATTGCTTTCAGACCAGAGGATCCTGTGCTATGGACCTCTCAACATAACTCCACAATCAACCCATGGTCTGGTTTTTGTCCATCTCCATGGACAGTTGGGGCAGGGGTCCTTGGTGTGCAGGCCTGGACTTTCATTAGAGTTTTGACTGTGGTTATGTGCTCTGTTGTTAGTATTACAAGACCTTTGTGTAGTGCTGCACAGTCAGGCTTGATTCCACCTCTGCCTTTGAATTGTTCAAGTACAGCGTAACTCCTGCAGGGTCTACCAACAGTCATCTCCTGTTATTATAGAAGAGATAACCTTTTTCTGTCCTCTGTTTCCTGTTTTTTCGACTGTTACTGATGCCCAGAAAAGGCTGTCCTCTCTGAATTAGCACAGAACTCCAGGAAAGGGGCTTCAGCAAAAGACCTCTGGAAATCCAAATGTAATACATCAATTTGACAGCCTCATCCACGTAAAACAAAAAGCTGAATTGGGTCTTTCTGAAGTTAAAGTAGAAAGATTTAATCAAACAAGACAGTTCAACTCCTCCCTGCTCCTCAAAATACTTTGTTTTTGTTTCTCTCAAGCTGATTTGAAATAAGTTCCCCCTCTGCTGGGAAATGTCCTGCTACCAACACACCCTCTGCATGAAAGGATTTGTCCCACTCTTTGCTCTGTTTTATCCCTTTGGCCCTTGCAATAATACCTTAGGGATAGTTCAGACTCTTGTGCATGTTGCCTTTCCCACCATTTCAGCACATCAGAGCACAGCTAGTGGAAGTCCTGCCCCCAAGCCACAGCAAGGACTCTGCCCATGGCCCTTCTCGTGTTGGTAAAATCCGTATTTGATTTTCCCTCCTCAGGTGTCAGTAGTGAAAAGTGAGGAGACCAAGATGCGCCAGGAGGACCTCAGCAGGTTGCTATACGAGGTACAGATACTGAGGAGTCAGCAGGAGAACATGGAGTGTCAAGTGCAGGACATGAAGCAGTAAGTTGTATTCTGCTTAGTCTGCATTTGCTTCTCTAGAGTTGTTGGTCTTGGGGGATGTTTGAAAGAAGGAGCCATGTGGGATTTCTATGTAGATCCTGTGATCTGCAAAATATGAATAAATGCTGAGCCTTTCTGTCTTCTGTGAAATGCAGACATATTCTCTTCATCTGTGTATTCCCTTTATAGATGGGGAAAGCCCAGAGGCAGCCATATAGGAAATATGTATATATCACAGAATCATAGAGCCATAGAATAGTTAGGGTTGGAAAGGACCTTAAGATCATCTAGTTCAAACCCCCCTGCCATGGGCAGGGACACTTCCCACTAAACCATATCACCCAAGGCCTCGTCCAACCTGGCCTTGAACACCGCCAGGGATGGAGCATTCACAACTGCCGTGGGCAGCCTATTCCAGTGCCTCACCACCCTAACAGGAAAGAATTTCCTCCTTATATCCAATCTAAACCTCCCCTGTTTAAGTTCTAACCCATTACCCCTTGTCCTATCACTACAGTCCCTAATGAAGAGTCCCTCCCCAGCATCCCTATAGGCCCCCTTCAGATACTGGAAGGCTGCTATGAGGTCTCCACGCAGCCTTCTCTTCTCCAGGCTGAACAGCCCCAACTTTCTCAGCCGATCTTCATATGGGAGGTGCTCCAGTCCCCTGATCATCCTCGTGGCCCTCCTCTGGACTTGTTCCAACAGTTCCATGTCCTTTTTATGTTGAGGACACCAGAACTGCACACAATACTCCAAGTGAGGTCTCATGAGAGCAGAGTAGAGGTTCAGGATCACCTCCTTCGACCTGCTGGTCACGCTCCCTTTGATGCAGCCCAGGATACGGTTGGCTTTCTGGGCTGCAAGCACACACTGCAGCCGGCTCATGTTCATTTTCTCATTGACTAGCACCCCCAAGTCCTTCTCCGCAGGGCTGCTCTGAATCTCTTCTCTGCCCAACCTGTAGCTGTGCCTGGGATTGCTCCCACCCAGGTGCAGGACCTTGCACTTGGCATGGTTAAATGGTTAAACCACATCCACTGTTAAACCCTATCCATTTAGTCAATGGATGTGGTTTTATAGATCAGGTACTCTGAGAGGTTTTTACTTGCCTCCAGAATTTTAATACTTACAGATAACTCTGTTTAAAAACCACTCCAATATTCAAAAGGACTCCAAAACATTTTTTTAAACTGAAAGCTGGTATACATACATCATCAGATGACCCTGGCATCCCAGGCTTTGACAGAACACCTCACACTGGGAAGCTTCATTCCAGCTCAGCACCCTACGTGCCATAGATAAATACTTCTATCCTACCTCAGTTTTTAATGATTCCCACACGTAGTATATGCACGAAAACCACATTATGCAATCCAGGTGCAGTGGCAGTGAAAGAGTTTCTAGGCTTGTATCTTATTTAATTTTTAAGGAATTCTACTGTCGATGATTTGGCCTTGATTTTAGTTTGTTCTCCCTTTGGATCTGCTTGCTACCTTTCCCCATCTAGCAAAAGGAAAAATTGCATTCAACTGAAGAAAATAATACAAATTCTATAAAGTAAGACAGACCAGAAATCCCAGGCTGAAACTATGGTGAGGAACCATCAAGGACATAACTCCAGTACGAGCTGTCAGATGAAGGAACCTGCTTTGCTGAAAATCCTGTCAGTACCACTTCAGAAAGTTCACTGCAGAGATTCTGGCTGCGGTACTAGGGCAGCTACTGTGCTATTTCGAGCCCTGGCCCTTATCTTCCCAGTTCTAGCATCAATCCACACTAGAAAAGCTAAACAATCCCAAAGGATTTATAAATTTCACCTGTGTGATAGGTTTTGCTGGCCTGACAGTTTTCATACATCCATATACTCAAGATAAATTGATTGACAAAATCTTCTGCTCATGGACTTGGCTCGCATCCTAGTTTGCAACTCAGCATCTTCCCATCCCACTTTCTGGATAATTGTTCAAAGTCTGCAAACTCCCCTGTGTGCTGCATCTGCAGAAAGAAATGAAATATGCTCTATGCAGTTGCAAGCTGGACAAAGGCCTGTGGTGGATGAAATCAGTGACTCCCACTAATAAAATCATTACAGTCCTCCCAGTTCAAGGCTCTAAGATGCAGAAGCATCTCTCTAGCTGCTCCCGTCACTCCCAAACATACCTCAAACCACCACATGTTTGAGGTTTCAGCAGGGAGAATACATAGGCTCTCTATCCATAGGATCTCTTGGCCCTTGGGGGCACTGGGGCAGTTGTGGAGGGTTGAGCTTTCTTGGCTCCTGCAGGAAGAATAGTCTTGGTATTCAAAATCATACCAAGTCACAAGTCAGGCCTTGCTGAAATTCTGAGTTTGGCCCAAATGCCCTACACATGTGCCCTCTTGTACTCTTCCCTGTAAGCGTTGGCTTCTCTTTTATTTGTTTTACCTTCGTGATTTGTTCTTTTGAGGTCAAGTTAAAACAAGGAAAGCAACTATGTGACCCTGTTTGGGACACCTGGAAAGAGCCAAGCAGTGAAAGAGCCCCAGAGTGGGACAGACTTTGCACAGCTGGGTCTGCTGTGCATCATGGCAGCCCTATGGGCTCTTGTGATGCTTCTGTGCTCATGGAAAACTTCTTTTTTTCTCTTCCAGGCAAAATGAAGTTCTTTGGCGGGAAGTTGTTTCTCTCCGGCAGAACCACTCACAGCAACAGAAAGTGATCAACAAGGTAATGGTCGTATTAGCTCCAAACTCACTTGTGTGCCATGGTGTATGTCCTCCTCTGGTTTTTGTTTTCCATGTCCCATAATCTTCTCCACACTGATATTGCAGTATATTTAGTTTCCTTCTCTCTCAAACTGTGATGCTCTTACGTGTCCTATGGAAAGTGGCCATTAACAAAGCACAGATTATGCCCTGAGCAAAAGATTTTAATTTCCCTGTGAATCCTTGTTGATGGTTAGAAACTACTTTTCTGTTGAAGACCTGAGCAAGAGAGCACAACTCTCACCAATTGCCCTGTATCAACTGAGCTGTGGCTGTACAAGTGCCTTTGGACTTCCCAAGTCTTTTTCCTTCCTACAGGAGAGGAGCCTTCCCCTCCTGCCAGCATTGAAGCTGCAGGCAGCAGAATTGATTAGCCATTCCCGCAGTGGGGACCTCCAGCAACTGTTACATTTGCTGGTGTTACTGATACAGAATCCCAGGCTGGTTTGGGTTGGAAGGGACCTCAAAGCTCATTCAGTTCCAGCCCCTGCCATGGGCAGGAACAGCTTCCACTAGAGCAGGTTGCTCCAAGCTCCATCCAACCTGGCTTTCAACACTGCCAGGGATGAAGTGTTCCCCAGTTCTTTGGGCAGTTGTGGAATTGCTGGTTGAGGAACTACTGTACAACCTTGTAGATCTAAGAAGAGCTGCAGAATCATTTCCCACAATGCCTAGCATGACCAGTGCTAGAAAAGACCTCTCCAGTGATTCCCAGATGATGCTGACATGACTGAGCATGTCACATTGGCCAATCCTCCCGAGAGCCATTTTCTGACCTTCACATGGCATCACAGAGTCATAGGACCAGATAGAAATGCATGAGGCTATCAAGTCTTCCTCCAGCTCTGAGGCTGGGCCAGCCAAACAGCTCATGGTGGAAACATTTATGCAACTCTTTTGTGTTATATTGAGCAATGAGTAAGAAATAGCTGTGATATAATAATGCTCTCTTTGTCTGGAGGGCAAAGCAGAGCATTAGGCTCAAGCTGACCTGGGAATACGTTGCCAAGTGATTCCTCTCCAAAGCCATTCTGCATCCTTTTTAGAGTCCTCGTCTGTCGATACTGAATTTCACAGAGCTCAAGAACTCATCCAAAAGAGATGAGAACTCCACCCAGGGTCTCCCCTAGGGGGTTGCCTCTTTCACTTGCAAAGTCTTTTGTCAGGCTTTATAGAGCCTCTTGTAAAGGTCTCTAAAGACTTTAATGGAGGAAAAGTCTAACTGCAGGCCTAGGAATATTTGCATTACTTCACAGGCAGATTCCCAGGTCTAATCAGGGTAACTGGAGTTCTGCTTGGCACAGAAGCAAAGAGAGAAGGCACTCAGTACATGCATCTATCAGCCTTTGCTCAAAGCAAGCACCTGGCTGAGTTCCTTGAAAGCCAGACAGATCGTTTGATTTCTTGGAATGCTTGGAGGTGTCCTGGGCTCCAGTGTCTCTTGCCATTTGGCTCCCACATTCCATGGCTTCTCCCAGCTTTGGGGTGGTGTCGGGAGGGAGTAATGCGTGAGATAAGGATGGCTGCGAGAGCAGGGAGTGCTGAATCACTCTGCTGATGAACAGTGAATTTTGATCTCTCCTGACAGCTGATTCAGTTTCTGTTTGGCCAGCTCCAATCAAGCCCTAGCAGCACTGGGATAAAGAGGAAGCTGTAAGTACCCTTGTGTGGTGTGCACACGCTCACGGGTGCATAATGCTGCCCCTCACTAAAAGCACAAGCTCAGCTTGCCCAGGCGGGCGGTCACCGGACCAGGGCACCATGGTGATGGGAAATGAATGGGCTGAACTGTCGAGTCAGACCTGCTGACATGCCCCATTCAGTGGCCTTTAGAGAAGCACCGTGTCAGCTTGTGACCTTTATTGGGGGAGCACAGCGCGCGGTGGGAGATGGGAGCACTGATTATTGGAAAGGTAAAGGGCAGGACCCCACTGCTGGTCCTACAGTTTTGCCACTTGCCATCAGCAGGAGCAGAGCCTGTACAAAGTAGGAGCAGAATGCAGCTAGCCCATAGGCACCTTTAGATTGATCCACAGTCACTGCATGGGGTGTGTCTTCAACACAGGTTTGGTGGCAGGTAACCTGTAGGCCTTACAGAGAAGAAGGTGGAAAAAGATTTTAGCTGAGATAAATAAGATAAATAAGGTCTTCATGGACAGGATTGATACGTCTGTACATGTCACAGGAACGTCTGACCCAGGAGGCTTTCAATGGGTTAGTTGCCAAAGTTACTTTGATAATAAATGTTGAATGGAGAGGGTCATTTTTGGCCCTTGAAGCAGAGAGCTGGATGCTTAGAAATTCATAATTGTCTCAGGGCTGACTATGGTATTTCATTGGCTGCTGAAGGGCAGATTATGCTACAGCAAGGCCTATGTCAGGGTAATTCAAATGTTCTTTTCTATTCTGTGTCTTTAGTTAATGTCCCAAAATAGGAACAGACTCTTAAACAAGCTGCTAGACCACACTGATATCTCAAGCACTGTGGTCACTGTGACCTGCTATATAATGCCCTTCACTGTGGGATCTAATTGGGCTGAGCAAACCCATATGTTCTCCCAACATATCCAGCTCCAGTGTCTGTAGAACGAAAGGAGCTAGGAATGATCTTCTGCCAAGCCTGTTAGATATTACTGGGGGAAAAAACTGTTGTCTTTCCCTGCTGCACCCCACCAAAACCCTGTCTTGTAAAGGAGCACTGAAGATGCTTTTCCTGGCTGCAGGACAGCAGGAGGAGAAAAGGGATTTGATAGGCAGTTTTATAGGATCATCAGCAGTAACAATAGCAGGTGTGTAGGAAAATATACCAGTTTCCAGCTCCTCTGGAACTGTATCACAAACCCAAAGACTGCCACCCAGGAAGTTTCATGACAGAAAGATAGTGCCAGTTTGAGGCTCCTCATTTTCTCTTGGTTTCAATTATTTACATAGACATAAAGTACAGGACCCAGCACACAGACCACTTCTTATTGTCAGTGACCAAATCTGCAAAAGCCTGTCAATCATTTATTAAAAACCTGTATGCAATTAGTTTAGGCTCTGCTCTGCTTCATGTCTCCCTCTGCTTTGTTACTTACTTAATGGGTGGCATGGGTTCCTTTTATGCAGTGTTATGTACAAAGATCTAGCCTTGCCAAAGAGGCCCTGAGTTCAAGGGAGCTGGTATCAAGGCCAGATTCCCAGTACTGTACTAATAATTCCAGTGTAGCTACCTTAAGCAACTGAGGATCCAACCTAGAGCTTGAAAACACCAGCAATTGGAAGAAAGCATGAATTGAATTTCTTCAGTTCAAAACATGAATTGGTTATTTTACTTGTATCTTTCAAACGAGATCTAGAAAACCTAGATCATCTCTTCCCTATCTGGCTAATGCAGTTTTTAAACTGTGACCTCAAAAACTGTTTCCCTTCCTTGTCCATAACACTGGACAAGAAAGCACCTTACAGCTGAGGAAAAGCAGAGTATCAGCGCAAAATAATCCTTGCCTGAGAGACATTTCTCATATAAACAACCAGGAACCAGTCAGTTATGTGCTGGGAAAACAAACCTGTTTCTCTTCACAGACCTCTGATGCTTGACAATGGGATCTCAGCTCCACAAGTGTCCAAGTTCAGCCGGCATTTGTCTACAGACCCCCTTCATGACCCCTATTTCATACAGTCGGTAGGTTTACACCAGCCTCTGAGTTTTGTGGGATTTCTTTGGCTGGGGTGGGAAAATGTTTGAAGCAATAATACAGGTTACACAGCAAGTAGTTTGGCAAGAGCTTGGCAGAGAAGAGGCTTGCCAAACTGGGCAACCAGTTCATTATTTCTTCAGCACCCCTCTTTCAGGAGAGGCACATACTTGCATGCCCTTGTGCTGCTGTGTTGATGTGGGAGGGAAAGGCAGCCCCTGAACACCAAACTCTCCATGGTGTTACCCCAGCCTGGCTCACCTTAAGGGCAGAGAGGAAGAAGTATGTTCTAGCAGGGAGTACTATGGTCCTTCTGACCAGAGCCAGGTTGCTGATGGACAGCAGGTCCCAAGAGGGGAGCTGTGCCCTGCTGGATCTTTCCCTCCAGAGGAAGCCAAGCAGTCTAGGCAAAATATCAGCCATGGCAAACCCTCTCTGTAGCTGACACTTCAGTCACAGTGCTTATTTTGCACTGCACCTCTGTATGGTTGGAGGAAAGACAGGAGGAAATTATATTGTTGCATAGTAGGTAAAACCTTTCTTGGTTTCTGCACAAAGAGGACTCGGGGACATGGTGAGCAAACAGTGTCTCAGATAGGGCCTTGGACTTGCTCTGGACCTCAGAAGAATAAATACGACTTTTGCTTTCTTCTTTAGCCATCAACAGAACCTGCCTCTTGCTTAAACAGCCCCACAGTTCCTGGAGGACCCATCATATCTGATGTAACTGAAGCGACACCATCCAACATAATAAATATGCATTCTCCTCCTGAAAATGACAGGTAAACATGTTTGTGATTAAAACCAAGGTGTCAGGTGTGAAAATGCATAACTTTAAAAGAGTTTTTCCTGGCTGTAAAACTACCAAATTCTGTCTGATCCACAAATCTCTATAGGAATGGTGGGCTGGAACATTTTATCCAATGTAGGTCAGATTGCCCGAATTAGGGAGGCATAATAACAGCATAAATTTGGAAACAAAGTCACAACTTTCATGCTGAGAACCTCCACTAACCTCTTGGAGAAGTATTGCATGTTTTTTTGGATTTTGTTCTCAGGACAGGGGCTCTCTCAGACTTTATCAAATAATGAGGTACTAGCATTTGTTGGGCTTGTTGAGAGAGAGAAAGAAGTTTCCTTTTTGGCTCTGGCAAAGAAGAAACAGAATCAAACTTGTTCATCTTTCTGCTAATGAGAACAGAAGGGCTGCATCACAACAACTTCCGATGTTTGACAGCTTTTCTGTGAAAAGGCCCCAGTAACTTAGGAACTGAAGGCAGAGGTATTTTAATGCTTATCTCTTCCTGCCACAGACATGCAGAGTATTTGGGGCTAGTAGCAGAACAGAGCTAATAGTGTCAGTGGAAAGTAAGTAGACAGATGAATCATGGAAACAGTTTTTCAGGCGTAGAGGCAAGGTAGTTATACTTCAGAAATTGCCTGTAAATCTGCTTCGTAATTGAAACTATAGCCATAAAATTAGCTAGAAACATGTAAAGAGCTCCAAATAAGGAGCAACAGCAACAACAAAACCACTACCACCACCAGCAAAACTACCATCACCACCAAAAACCAGGAGCCATTTCTAAAGCAGAAAAAGTCGAATTATAACCTTCAAGTTGCTTATTTCTGCTAATTACCGAGTGCCATCTGGTGGCCTCTGACCTGTGCTGTGCCTGAGGATCTGAGCCACCCATGGCCATCATGAGCTTAGCACTGTGCTACTTCCTAAACCAACATGAGCTTCTGGTGGGAGTTTAGGATTAATGAGATGAGAAGATGATCTGAAAGGAATGCTGAGGAAGGCTTTGTAGTGTCACATCCCATCTCCTAGGTGTGACACGCCTGTGTGTTGTCACAGAGCAAAGCTAGTCTGTAAGTGGTGTAAGACAGTATTTTTCCAGTATGGCTTTCCACGCCCTGTGCCTATTGATCTACATGACTTTGTCCCTTTGGCTGCAGTTGTGCAGGATCCCAGGGAGCTGTAAAATCACCTACTAGTAGTATGGAGTAGATTTTTACATGCAAAATGCTACTATTCAAAACTTCAGTGTCTGCATAGCAATAACAAGAAGTGCCTTTTCCACTGGAAAAAGGCAGACCTCTGATTTCAAACCAGTAAAACATCTGACTGGGACTGTCAGACCTTAAAGCTTCTGTTCCAAATCCTTCAGAGCCCAAGGTCCTGACCTGTGTCATTGGGATCTAGAATGCTTGCTGGTTGCATCCTAACTCTGGCATGGAAAAGGTCTTACCAATCCGATTCCTATCTCTAGGGTGGAGACTTTTTCAGGGGAACCTCCCTACCCTTGTGACCCTTTAGCTTGTCTCAATTTTAATGTTCATCTGAGGAATGATTTACACATGGAAGTGTATTTTCTGTATTTGCAAACAGTGAAAGGGGCAAATTCAGTATGGCTTTGACTGATGGAGTAACTGAAGGTATTCCAGATGAGCATGTTTCTAGATCTTGCTGAAATGTTGCTGGTTTCTTTTGCCTGTCCAGGGAAGTGGAAAGACACTGTGGGGCAGTTTGGGAATTCAAAGCAAGCCCTTCTGCTACTCCACTTCCAAGCAAGGCCTTTGTGGAGCAAATGTGTGTGTGGTGCTAAGTCTTGTCTCTGATACAGAGAGAAATGCCTCATGCTGATCAAGGAAGAACCAGTCAGCCCTGGCGTGAAAGCCACCACCGAGCCTGATGTCCCGCTGCCAGGCTGCCAGGCTTGCTCCGAGCCCCCCGTGCTCCCAGTGGCCATGGTTCAGTCTGTTTTGGAAGGCAAAGGGAGCTGTGGCACAGCCCCTCCAGGGACCTCGCAACCATCTGAGAGAAGAGGCAGAAGGGCACTGCTGGACAGGTGAGGGGCGCAAGGGATTGCTGTGGCCCTGTGTATTCATGGCCCTCTTTTTCCCATTCACAGCAGGGAAAGGGAGGCTGAATTTGTCATCTAATGCAGCCTGGTGAGCTCCATCCTGTACCTGTGGCACCTGCTTAGAGAATGCTTGAAGCCCAGGGAACAGTTCACAGGGGTAGGGGGTTCTATGGATGAGTTTGCTTGAGGGACCCAACAGAGAAGGAGCTGTCAGAGCATGTGTGTCAGAGCCCTGGGAGCAGGAAGAGGCCTTTTGCAGTGAGAGGGATTTGCCCAAGTTCCAGGTGTCCATATCTACAGACTTGCAGGCCACCGCACCACACTACACCTCCAATAGCTTGTGTGCCCTCTGCCACTTGTTTTGTTGAGTCATTACGTAAAGTCATACGGAAATATTTGTCAGTGGTGTTTCTGTGCAGTGGATGGGTGTCATTTGTGTGCTGGTATGCAGAGAGTGATGGACAGTGACAATCACTAAGTAGGGCATATATTTGATAAGGCATCAAAGCATTCATAAGGTCCAGGCTTGGGCTTGAGAATAAAATAGTTTGCCCCGTCTTTTCCTCTCCTGTACTGTGAAGTCAAATAGACTTTTCTCCTTACTCTGTTCCCCCTGTGCATCTCCTCCTATCCCCTTTCCAAGATGACTTTCTTCTTTCAGTACTAGATCTGTCCTTAGAGGGCAGTCACCATGTGGCAGCATGCTTTGGGGAGGCACTGGGGAGCTGACACCACAAGAGATCTGGTTTCCCCATCTCTGACTTAGAGTGAAACCCCACAGAACTTAGCTGCATTGCCATGCTTGCCTCCTTGAGCTGGGGGGGGCTCAGTAAAATGCTAGGCATCCAAAGCAAGGCTTTATACAAAGGTGCAAAATCATGCCTTAAAATCATGAAACACCTGATAAGGTTACTCACAGGGATGGAGAGTAGAGAGTTTATGTTCACTGAGTGCAGGATTCTGGTACAAAGGGTTGGAGATTTAATTATTTTGAAGCCAGACCATGCAGGTATCCTGCATGTGACAGTCACCCAGAAGATGATGTCCTCTTGTAAGGGGCTTCAGCACAGTGCCATTAGGCTTAGCCACAGGGCAATCGGGGTGAGCCACTTCTGGAGTTGGAGTCTGCCATGGGCTGAGGCTGAAATCCCAGTAGCACCAGTGTCGTGAGTGAGTGCACAGCAGACTTCAGCTGGAGGAGAGCATGGTCTACAACTGCAGAATTCATTCTTGATGGCAACTGCAGCAATGTAAGGAGAATGGGGCAGAAAAACTGCTATAGGGTTATCAGAAAGACTTCTATTTTCCTTTGATTCCATACAGAGAACCACATTCTTCCTTCTGAACCCACTGAGTACTTCAAACCATTTCATTAGAAGAAAAATAATCCTAAAAAATCATTGAAAACTAATTTCAAGGCAGGCTGCCTTGAAAACCGTTAGTTAATTCAACCATCTTGGACCCAGTAGGATGCGAATACAGCCTGTTCTGGATCCCAAGTGCTTCTCTAGGATTTATTCTAAGGAGAGCTTGTATATCCCAGTCTTGAGGAGACGTGCACAGACTCTCCATGGCCAAACCACATGTTACCCAGGAAAGCAGTCCCGCTTGTTTTACTGCCAGCCCAGCTCCCTGTGTGCTCTGCTGGGTTGTACTTCTGGGACTAAAGCAAGTTATATGGCGTAAACCCAGGCTGACAGTGAGCTCTGTTTTTTCAGAAAGAGATTTAAGTATAAACTCATGCTGGAAAGCTGCTCAGTCCTGCTTTCTATATGTACCTATGCAAGTCTCATTCATGGCAATATTTCCCCTTGTCTTTCCTCAGAACAGATATTTCAGATCCCCTGGAGAGCCCCGACTGGAGCTTGGAGGGGCTGCAGCTGCTGCTGAGGAGCCAGCAGTATGGCCTGGAACCAGCCAGCCTCTTGGATGTGAGTAACCGGCTGCAGGGAACAGTTGTGGGGTTCCCATTGCTACTTTGGGCTGTAAATCAGGCAGACATACAGACTGTGCTGCTTGTTCTGCTATGGCACTTTATCTGTCACATGCTGCCCTATTTTGACCTGCTCAAAAGAACTGGCAAGATTTCAGACTTTAGAATCATAGAATCATAGAATAGTTAGGGTTGGAAAGGACCTCAAGATCATCAAGCTCCAACCCCCCTGCCATGGGCAGGGACACCTCTCTCTAAACCATATTACCCAAGGCCTCATCCAGCCTGGCCTTGAATCATGCTTTTTTGCATTTGTTCTGAAAATACATCTTTGAACTTCACGGAGCACAAAACACAGTGCCTTTGGTGAAGACATCAACACGAGACCTAACACGTTTATGTAAAGTAGTTTTAATACAAATGTCTAGCTAGTTTGGTAATTGCTTTGGGTGGGTTAGAGTATTTTCTGCATGTTTTGCATCTTAGATGCTCCGAGACTGTTTAGCTCTACTACCTTCCCCTCTTCTTCACATTATGGGAAGTGTAGCTGATGTCACATTTTCTCTCTGCTGAGATATTTATCTGTCTGCAGTTCTTAGATCACTTTTTTTCTTTAGAAATGGATGGTGCCTTTTTTCTTAACTACATATGCAACAATATGAAGGTTCGTTTATTTATCTCTTTCTCTCTCCCCGTGTACATATGGTTAGTATATGAAAGGTTTTTGCCAATAATCAAATAACTCTGTATATAAGAATCTATATGTCAAATATATGCTCCCCTGAGGAGGTGCTTCATGGTAAACTTGCATGGATAAATAGGAATGAAAAATCATTTTTAAAAATCAATCTTATTCTCTTAAAGCCAATTCCCAAGTGTCTGTGATTGATTTTGACTTTACAGTAAGCTTTTCTAATGACCTGACCTATCACCGACTCCCTTGGTTTCTGTTTCTTATTTCTCATTAAAAGATGTTTTCCTGTTGCTGACACACTTTTCTTTCTGTGCCACTCAACGTCACAAGGGTGAGAATGAATCATAAAACTGTATCCCCAGATCAACAGCTCTTTTCCCAGGTTGCTCAGACTTCTTAAGAAATGGCCATTGAGGCACTGATGCAGTAGTAATCTGCCCTCTTCTACCATGTTTTGGAATGCTTTAAAAAAAATGTGAATCTGGAAGTGTCCTGGGACCCAAAAGCAGCAAGAAAGGGCTTTGACTTGCATGTGCAGTAACACAGATAGCTGCCCTGGTTTACAGCGTGACTGTGACACAAGGTGTCTGCACTGTCTGTGCTGTCCCACCACTGGCAGCAGCAAGGCTTGTGGCTCAGCAAAAGTGCCCACCACTGCACCCTTGCTGTTCTATCTGTGCTGCAGATCAATACTCATGGAGCCTGTTGCTTCAGTCAGTATGCTGTAGGAGCTGAGGCACAGGCCAGAACTGCTTTCAGGTATCTCTGCCAGCATGGTTGTGACCCCAGCAGGCAGCCAAGGCAGGCAGATGAGCATTGCAGTATTTTAAACCATGACATCTTTGAGTCCTCATTGTATTTTTCTCTCAACAGGTCTTTAATCCCAATTTATCTTTCAATGAGTGGAATTTGACTGAAATGGAAGCTAGTCTGTCTCCGGTAAGCAATGTGTGTTTCTGAGATAATAATAATGATGCAAGGCTTGTGCATAACTGAAGAATGCCGAGATATTTTACAAAGAGAGGGGAGAGTGGTAAAGCACATCTCCTGAGGCTAGGCCGAGAGTGTTACCTTATACTCTTGAGCTGCCTTTCCCACTGATCCAGAGCTTGTTTAGAAACACACTGCTATTGTGGAGTCTTTAATTGAAACTTGTTCTGAACTTTCTTTTGGCATGAGTATAATATCCTGCTAATACCAAAGATTCATAAAGTGTCTTTGTGACAAAAGCTCTTCATAAAGTGCAGCCCTCCCTGTACATCTTGGGAGCAGTAAAACCACGTGTAATTAGAATAGAGGTTCATGCATGCCCCTACAGAAGAAACAAGGAGGAATTGCTTGGCAGTATTTGTTTGGGATTGACATTGATACAGGCATTTCTGAAGTGCACATGGTGATTTAATAAGCAGTGAAGGAAATGTGTGATTTGTGGCTGGGTTCTTTTTCCTGCTGGATGGAGGGTGAATTTTCAGAGCCTTCATCGCCAGCCAGGTTGGATAAAGACTTGGATGGTTCTGCCATCTCTACAAATGTGCAAGCAGAGTGTAATCTGTTCTAATGACGGGTGAAAAGTCTCTAAGCCTGCTTCATGGTATCACTGTCCTTTTAAAATCTTGATTTAATCATTTCAAATTTATTACGAAATTCCACTTCCTGAGTGTTAAGAGGGAGAGTCTTTGAAGAGATAGATATTATTAGCAAGCTGTGGAAGCAAGGGACAGTCTCTTCTTAAAAGGATTGCATTAGAGAAAAGGCCAAGGAGGAGGCTGCAATGTTCTAGAATTCAGTTCTCAAGTCCATTGAATTTCCCAGCATCTGGTGTAGCCCCCTGAGGTAGGCTTGCTTGTCCTACAGGAAGTTCTGAGCACAGAGAAGCCTGGAAGGTAATACCTGTTGCACCTCTGTGCCTAGAAGTGCCATGCAAGCAGAAGCTAGTTGTACTTTCAACAGTCAAAGGCAAATGAAATGAAGATTCCATTTATATGGAAAAGGAAGGAAATCCCTTAAAATATGAAAGATTAGTTTCATATTTGTTGCTGGCTGCAGAGGATTCTGGGTTTGCCTTGTCTGGCAGCCAGGCGGGGATAGGCAAAGTGACACTAGTCTGATCTCCCTGTGTGGCATGAGCCTCATGCCATCCTAGCCAGTGCTGACAGGGGGTTACATCTCCTTTAACCCTCTCCATCAGGCATTCTTCCCTTGAGCACACACTTTTGGCTGTTTTAGCAAAGTGGAGGAGAGGCAGGGCAGGGAGCACATCATTGATGAAGCACTGATTTTTTCAGACATGGTCTAGTTCTAACGAGCTCCCCTGTCTTTGTATAATTGTACATTGTAGTTTATATTTTTGCATCAAGATGCAGCGTCTCACAGTGGATCTGGAGAAGAATGCAACTGAGCTGTCCTCAAAAGTGTTCAACCCACCGTTTAACAGCACCTGCCCAGGTAGGAGCACTGGCAGCTCTTGCAGAGGAGAATGGGGATGTAATGAAGGTGATGAACATGTCAGCAGCTAGATGCAATGCCCAGCACTGACCATTTGCCTCTTTGAGGGTACAAAACATATTGGTTATTTGACTTTTCACAATTGTCAATCCGCGGTGTTTCCGTAACAACTGTGAAGCTAGTTACTGAGCAGTGGGAAAAGTATGGGTGATAAGCTGAGGCTTAAATGTAATTGAACTACCTCCCTTTCTGTTTGGGTCCACACTGTATCTATTGGTATCTCCTCTGCCTGTTCATTGCCACCTAAGAGCAATGTGGGGATCTATACGGGTAGGGGTAGTCAGGACTGCACGAGTCCTGTGTTTCCTTTTCCTCCTGCTGCAGAGAGGTGACCCAATAGCTGCTAGCAGCCAGAGGCAAAGGTTATGTCTCAGCTTCTCCAGACGTTTTACCAGACCTCAAGGGAACTGTCCAGCTGACCTTCTCTCACCCACTGATTCTGATAAAGTGTGTCATCAACCTTAGATATGAATCCAGAATCGTTTTCCTGGTCTTGGAATAGTGAGTTCCCATGCGTCCACCTGGGATAGACCTGAAAGAAAAGGTTTTGTGAGCCTTCACTTGGTACTGTAGCCACCTGAGACCAATCGAGAATCTGGACACGTTGTGTGGTGTTCAAGGACTTCCAGTCTCCACTTTAAACTTAGCATCTTGCATGAGCATTGAAGGTGTTAGAAGCCCATCTGTATTGGAGGGAATTCTTCAGCAGGCTGGAGCTGAACTGCACAGGAGGAGCATCCTGTGAACTGCACAGGAGTTTGCAAAGCCTTTCCGGTCCCTGCAGTGGCATGCTGCTGGAATAGTGGGCCAGTTGACAGATGTCTCCTTCTGCAAAGATGAGGAAAACCAGACAATTCTTGAGTGAAGGAGAAGAGAAGCTTTCCAGTGTCTCCAACCATTTGATCATCCCTCTTTGACTTCTTGTGAGGCACCTCAGCGTTCAGGCAGAATCCAGCTTGGCAACCTGCAGAGATTCCCATCTATTTTAATAAGCATTTGAGTGAGTCTGAGTTTGACTCAAGTGTTTTGAAGCATTTTTTGCCCGGAATGAGGCCCCCTCACCTCCTGATGCAGTGGGGATTTGCCACTTTTCAGTTCTACATATGTAAAGCCTGGTAACTTGCCTTCCAGAAACTGAGTTTTCTCTCATCCGTTTGCATTACAGGGAGAGATGTAATTCTTGAAAGCACCCAGCAGTTCCTCGTTGATCGTCAGTCAGTCTTTGGAAACGACCTCATCAACTTGCCTGAAAGTTCATCGCTTTATGTTCCATCTGACAGTATGGCTTCCTACCTGTCCTCTGGGGGTGTCCAAGGGGAGATCCCATTAAACCTGAGCTCCTCAACTGACAACAACCAGTGATGTAGATTCCAAGAAATGACGTCTCCCTCCCACCCATCCAAGTATCCATAGGTTTGAATGGAAAGAAACAAAAGTGACTCAGAAACCCACAAGAGAGTTTCTTTTTGTGCTCTTTCTTTTTGAGTAGATGGAAATGGTCAGTAGCTGTTGCATTACCCTCTTTGCACCTGGATTTCAGTGTTTGCCCAGGATAGCAATTTTAAATGAAATACTGCCTCTGGTGCTTGCTCCTGTGGGGAGTGAGAACTTGGCAGGTTTGGGGCTTTTTTGCCTTTTAAGTGCATTTAGAAATTTCAAATCTAATAAAATTTAAGTGAAGAGTAGCTTGAAAGTACATCATGGACTTCATAAAATATAATGATCCCAACTAGTGTCTGCAACAGCAAAATATTGGATTTTATCGAGGCAGCACAGATTAGCTAAGATGCCTGACCCTTCTGGATGCTGTTTTTTTGTTGGTTTGTTTTGTGTTTTTTTTTTTTTTTTTTTTTTTTTAATAGGAAAATAGTTCTATATGCCAGTCCAATGCTCTAAAAATATTCCTTTATCGATTTTCTGGTTTTTATGGGATGTACTTGTGCCACTTCTTTATCGCCCTAGGGTTAGGAGGAAAATGAAGATCTCTTCTGGTGTGCAGAAGATAATTTTCTGAGTGACCACTCAGAATGTGTCTCTGGCTCCCAGGGGAGCTACAGACCACTGCAGAACTCAAAACATCCTGTGCTGAGTTGAAGGGGTTTGTTGTTTGAGATGTTTTCCCCCTAAATTTATTTCTTCTAATATACAAACAAAAGGGATAGATTCTTCTACATGAACTATTTTCCACTTTGCAAAGAGGACAGAGGAGGTGGACTCTGGGTTTTGGTGCTGGCTAAGTATTGTATGTCCAGTCCAGTGCTTTTTCCCTTGGCCTTGACCTGTTCTATTTCCCCTGAAGATGTGCCTGTTGATTTATTGATGTATAAAATCTGATGAACCAATTTAATAGATTGGATCCCCTTTTTAGAAGGGCTCTCAGCTGCTCAATGTAGGAGAGAGGCAGAAGGGTTAGTCCACCATGTCCACTAACTTTCTTCCTGTCCTTTGTGCATCTGAGACCAGCCTCCAAAGCTTGAATTAATCTTCCTCTACCACGTGGTTTCTGACAACTGATTTTCTCAACAAAGCAGAGCTTTGTTTTTTATTCTAGTAGTTCTAATGAGAACGTATTATTTATCTCAGTAGCTTCTGAGTTGCTTTTCCTTAGGAAAGCTACCCTAATGCAGTAAGAAACATCCAGGAAATTCAGCTAACTCAGGCCTCCTAAGGGCTTAGACAGGGAGGTGTGAGCCGTGCCAGTATCATTTGAAGAAATCCTCTGCTTGCTTCCACTGTCTTGATGACTCTTGGTTCTAAACCATATTTCTGAGCATCCACCCCAAAATCTAGTCAGTTAATCAGGTGAATGCAGGCTCACGTTCTCCTTAGTATGATGAGCATGTTTTCAGTGGACCTTCCTGTCAGAGCCCTTCCCTCCATCCATTTATCAGTGTGTGAAAGATGTGTTAGCTCAGAAACATTCATTTTTGAGCATGTTTTTCCCCAGGTAATTACTGTGTGCTGGGAGCTCTGCCACCACTGTGGTGGTGCAGACTTTGCAAGAGTGAGGTTGTGAGAGCTTCTGAATAAATTCCAGACACTGGTTGTTTTTTGTTCAGGACTGAGGGAGAATGCTGGCAGCCCCCATTGGCCTGGTATTTAGATGATGTGCTTGAGTGTAGGTTTTCCTTTCTGACAGATTTGTGCTTTGACAGTTCACCTAGATCAATCCATTTGCCACTGTATTTTGTCTTTTCCAGAGATGGAAAGTGGTTGAGCTGCACTCTGTTTACTTCTTTTCTCATGATTGAAAATTGTTTGGTGTCTCCTATTACCTGTATGTTGTCCCCATTCAAGATTTACAACCTTCTCTGAACCTTCACATGCTAGATTACCTTAATGTTAACACTAAATGTACTGATCTGGTAAGGTCCAAGCATATGCTTAACTTCAAGTTCCTAGTAGTTTTCCCATATTTTTATGAAGCCTGTTGCATGCTTGAGGTTAGACATGTGCTTCCAAGTCTTACTGGATTGTCTAGTTAGGGTTGAGAATGAGCCACCTTAGGAGAGCTACTCATGGGTAGGCAGAGGTGCAGCTCAGGCAGCGTGGGGCTGCAGCATTTTAGCAGTGCCAAGGGGCAGACTGCACCCTCTGTGAGCAGTCCCTCAGGGTGGCTCTTGGATTGTTCTTTAGGCTTTGTGCTCTACTATAAACAAAAGATTGGAGCTCAGTGGTGAGAGAGGAATCTTCAGGAACAGTATTCAAGAGCCAGACCTGTGAAGAAGCAAGCTTGTGTTCCTTGATTTTTTACATTATTAATTTGACTTGAAGGTGATGTGCTGAGACTGCGTTTTTGCACTATGCTGTATATTTGTAAAGATTTACAGAAAACACTAATTAAACATGTTTCCTTTTTCTCATTTAGTCCTGCTCTGGCATTTCTCTCACTACTTTCCCCTACCCCTTACTCTTTTCCTCCTTCCCAAGTCTTCACCAACAGATAAAAATCCCTCCAGGAGTTCAGGACAGTCACCTGTGAGATGATGTAGGGCTCACTGATGAGATCTGGTGGGTAAAATGTGGCACAGTAAACACAGCTCAGAGAGCAGCTGAATTCTAGCAATTAAAATGCCTTTCAGGGTGGGTGTTATCTGGTAAAATCAAGATAAGAGTAAAAGAATCAATAGTTCTTTTGCAACTCTTTATTTTCTTGCTTTCAGTGGTAACAGAGTTCAAACTTCACTCTTGCAATTACCTTTTATACAAACACTTTCCTTTTGTAACTGGGACATGATCAGATGGTCCTTCCTGCTTGTTTTGTCTTGGGACATGATTTGGAGAGATCTCCGGGAACTCGCCAACAGAGTTTAAATTGACAAGCGGGTATTTATTGTGGCACCAGGGCACACGAGGGATAGCTCCTCCTAGCGTGTCTCTCCAACTTGCTAAACTAAGCTGTTCATACATAGCCACTAAACATACATGTCCATTATGTATATATATGCATATTCATAAGGCTACTTATGTATTACATCATTCTTCTAGACAGTTTCCCTGTGTGCGTACAAAAATGTGATGGTGGTCTCTGGGGGTCGTTTACTTCTTCCAACAATCTTCATCACTTCTGGCAGTCTCTGAAGCACGCACAGTAGATAATGCTTGCAGCAGCTTAATTGGTTCGGTAACACTGCAAACATAATCACCCTGTCCTTCTACTTATCTGTTAGCTTAGCTGCAGCCCATGCTGGACACCTGCTAGTTTCAGATACTCTTTATCTACATGTCCTGTTTTTGTATCCTGATTTTCTTACATTTACTTTTGTACTAAGGTCATAAGGACCTAAAACTACATCAGCTACAACGGTTTATCTTATACAAGTGTTCTCATAATGTTCTCTAGCTGCGCGCTATTTTTTTTTAGTTCTGTGAAACATGTACCTCAGTTATTTTCCATTGATACTGTTAGAAAGCCATCAAACTTGACCTTACTTAGAACTGATTCTATTTACTTACAAAGGTTTGTATTTAATTTTGTGCCTCCTTGTCTCAGGCAGCAAAGGGGTAACAGGACAGGTATTAATATGCAGCACAAAACCACACAACCCCGAGCTACAAGTTTTCTTTCAGAAAAGGGGAGGTGATTGTTAGATGAAGCTCACCGATGTTGGCAGCATTTGCAGCTTTCCAAGAAGATTCTTGGGGGATGCTTCCAGATAAGCCTGTCCTCCAAGGCCCTTGCTTATCCTCCTGCCCTACCCTGGAGGCCATGGATTTTGTCAGCATGTTTGTACGCACAGAAGGTGGAAAATGGCTGAAGTTTAAAGCAATTGTGTTGTCTTCCCTGAGGGCTTTTTACGACTGTGTTAATTAGGACCTGTTCTCTTGCCACCAGATGGCACCTAACCCCAGCTAGCTGGAAATCTATCTTTTCAACAAGCCCATAGCAGTATTTCTTCTGTAAATGTGCACATCTACAAGACCTGTTCAATTCCGTTTATTAAACACCATTGGACATTTATAGAAATATGAAAAAAGACATCCATCTAAACTTGGGTGTGGCTTAATGATGTGAGGTCACTTAATGCCTAACCTGTTCTTCATGTTGCTGTTAAATCACAAAAACATCAGCGCTTGAAGATGAGGCCAACTCATTATGTTGTGCTTAAACAGTGTGCAATTAACTTTTTTAACCTCCTGTGTGAGGTAAAGGAGCCATGAATGGCTCAGCAGAACTGGTCAAGAGTTGTCCAAGTGATGTTGGACAGGAATCTTTTGTGGTGTTGCAGAGGAAGCACTACTCTCAAGCAGTATCTGCCTCCTCAAATTTTATTCTCCAGCTCAGAAGAACCTGGCTGAGGCACCACTGCTATTATCTTACATTTCACTTTGGCACAAGCCTATGACTGTGGTGTGAGAAGCAAATGGAAGAAGAATTCCTTTGATCGGCTTTTTGCACCAAAGCTGCCTTTCTGCCATGACTACCAAGCTGGTTATTTTTCTGTTATATTTGAAATTCAGATCCTGACACACATCACACAATGAAAAATGATGAAAATGGCAGATATAAGCATATGCTCCATCACAGATCGCCCTAACAGGTAAAACCAGATGTTCATGCATGGACACTAGTTCTGCACCTGGTTTTGAATAAACAATGATGTCTATGAATATTACATCCATAAAAGACCATGTTGAGAAGCAATCTCTATTTGTCATTAAGGTTCATCTGGTATGAAATATGAGATTATACAAGTTAAAATATATGTGGTTACAAGTAAAATCTTTATTTAGTTCAAGTGAGAGAAACATGTTACAGTATGCACTGAGTACGTATGTAATGAAACCTTAAGACATAAACATTCAACCAAGTAATTCCTAGGATGCAAGGGAAAAAATGACATCACAGAAATTAATTTAACTGTAACACAACAGTGCACTCACAAAGGAGTGAATGCTGCCAGCTGCCCTGAATACTTGGGAGTTTTTTGCAAAGTGATTAATCTAAACCACTTTCACTACCGTTGTCGTTCCATGCCTCATGAGAACATCCTTCACTCTCAGCTGGGTACTGTGCTTCTCCATTGCTGCCATTACCTGTTAAAAGCATGAAGGCAAAAGGCAAATGAAACTCACCAGTGGTCTGTAATACTGGAAAAAGAAATGTAAAGCCCAAGTTTTAAAGAAACATTTAAATAAAACTCAGCAATAAATCCTGTGTAGAAAAAGAAAAAAAAATAACATCTTATTTCCTAATTTATTGGGATTCCCACATAAATAAAAGGAAGAGGTGACTGTTAACTAACCATGGGTTGAAAATTTTCTCAACAAGAGAGCTGAACAAATCTTTACTTTTAATATGTATGTGCTAGCCACTGTTTTCTCTGTTATCAATTATGTCCCTGTAAACTTACCATCCTCTTCTGTTGGGCTTGGGTCACCTGGTCGCTTGTAGACTGGTGACAAGAGTAGATTATCCTTGGGCTCAGAGTTAATCTCTTGTATCAAGGGTCTTGAGGGGGTTGTTTGTTGATCTTTGATCTCCTGGTATCTTTTGGAATTAGCAGTCTTTGTAAAGAAGCTTTCAAAAAGGGGTCTTAAGTGCTCCTTTCCATGCTCTTTATGTATCTTACATGCATTTGAAAAGATTGCTGTTGGGACTTCTTCTGAATTCTCAAACATGCTTTTATTGTTTTCCTCTAATGCTGAATCACTGTCATTTGTCATTTCAGAAATTATTTCAATCTTTGGGTGATATTCCTGCTGTAAAGGTGGAAAATCTAATTAAAAAGATATTATTCTAGATGTAAAAGCTAAAAGGTGGGTAAATATCTCTTGGACCCACATAACAGCTGTCAGCTTTGATGTGCCATTCTCCCAGAATGTATGGAAAATGTGCTTCAGCCATAGCTCTGCTCTCCGTGGATGAATCTTGGGTTAACTATTCCTCAGGCATTAGTGATGAATTACTAACCATTCGCAAAAAGAAGACCTATTTCAGCAATTTAGCTGAAATGGGGGGGCTCAGCTCTGTTACTTTACCTCCAAAGAGAGGGAGCTGACTAGTATATTCATCTGACATCATTTAAGAACCACCACTCAGGGTGTGACAGTGCTAGAATATCCTCTGTTCTCTTATCTTCTTTTAATTGGAGGCTTTGTTGCAAAGGTATTTTTCAATGCTGTTATAGTCTGTGACCAAAACAGTAAATAAATTCCATGCCTTATGGAATCATAGAATGGTTTGGGATGGAGGGACCTTACAGCTTATATAGTTCCAACCTCTTGCCATGGGACACTTTCCACTAGACCAGGTTGCTTCAAGCCCTGTCCAACCTGGCCTTGAAACACTGACAGGGATGGGGCAGCCACAGCTTCTCTGGGCAATCTGTGCCAGCATCTTACCACAGTAAAGAACTTCTTCCTAATGTCTAATCTAAGTCTATCCTCTTTCAGTTCAAAACCCTTTCCCCTTGTCCTATCACTACATGCCCTTGTCAAAAGCCCCTCTCCAGGTTTCTTGTAGACCCTTTAGGCACTGGAAGCCGCTCGAGGGTCTCCCCAGAGCCTTATCTTCTCCAGAGTGAACAAGCCCAGCTCTCTCATCCTGTCTCCAAGCAGAGATGCTCCAGCCCTCTGAACAGGTTTGTGGCCTCCTCTAAACTTGCTGAAGCAGGTTAATGTCTCTCCCCACCTCCCACATTGGATTGTACTTATAGTTATCAAGAGCTGCTGCTTCCTCTGTGCATAAATTTGAGCTCCCACCAAGTGCAGTGCTTTGGTTCTGAGGCTCTCCTGCATTTCCATCCTTGTCACATTTGTTTAATCTACTTAAGCAGCCTGTGAGACCATGCAATATTTTCAGCCATTGCCTCTCTCAAGGACTGAGCAAAGTGCTCTTGGCAATATGGGATTGTCATCTTGCTGACAGCTATCATGAGCTGCAGCAACATTTTAGACTACAGTCTAAACTCAGTTTTAGCACAGTATAGCCCCAGGACAAACACATCAGGTTAAATCCACTTTATATAAAAATGATTGATTTGCTTTATGCTGACTGAAGGAAAAGTTCTCATTAGCTAGGAGGGACTTGTAAGAACATGCACTGTATTGGCCTCTGTCTCCAGCAAGGCAAGTATGAGTTAACATCAGCACAAGAATCAATGCTGTGCAGTTCATTTTTGTTGCTCTCTTTTCCTTTTTTTCTCTTCTGTTCTGTTTATAGGCTTTTGCCTAGATTATTTTGAGCCCAGCATACTGCTAATATGGGCATGAACTGCCTTGTATCTGACTAGCATGCAGTGGAGCCGAAAAGTTTCAATTTATCTGTGTTTTCAGTTGAAAAGACTGATTTTATTCAGTTGTAAGCATTTGATTCTATCCACTCAGTACTTTGCAGCATATTAGTATTGTAAAGTATATTTTAAGAGTCATTTTCATAAAACCACTACATACTACTAAGAAGTTAATCTTAGAATTAAGCTAAGAAATTAAACAGCTGCATTTACTTGATCTTAGGTGTTCATTCTTCTATTTTTGTAATACAATAAGATAAAACCTTAAATTAATAAACTATTTACAAGTGGATAGAGATCTTCTGAAACATCCCTTTTAGTTTATAAATGCATGACTGATTGCACCTCCCAGAACCATTTCACAACTGAGATTGTCCCCATTTTGCAAGACAATTTGTAAATGTGTTTAGGGAAGCTCCACCACTGGAGTGAATAAAAATCTTACCTTTTGAAAAAAGCTTTCCTCTTCTGGGGGAAATTCATTTACATCAATGTCTTCTAAATCAGGCAGTTCCTGAAAATAATCATGAGATTGTTGGTCAGTGGGAAAAGCTACTGTAACCAATAAAACCTCTCTCTCATGTGGAATCTTCTTCAAAGCCATGCTTTTCTGGGTAAGAAGCCACAGCCAGCAATACCACACTGTCATTTTCTCCAATGTGACAGTTTCCTCTGTTAAACACTTGTGGGAAAAGGAAAAATCTGTCTCCAGAAATAGAAGATGGGAAGGAAATAACTTTAATGTCAGCCTGAATGCTGTTTTCTACTGTGCTGTGTGATCATGAAGGAGAAAAGGATAAACAGCAAGGCATTAAAAGGATTTTAAAAGCAAGCATGGTTTGCATCTGTTAGCTGATGACTTCACCTCATCTGCAACTCATGTTTATGGACAACGATCTGCCATCTAAACTCTGTTAACCTAAATACATCCAATAACAAAATATTTTACTGTGAATGCTTCATAATTAGGGATACAGAACTGCAAGATTCCTGAGAACTGAGATGTGCAGCAACAGGAGCTTGTTTCTGCTTGACAGAGGGATGTCATGGAATCATAGAATAGTTAGGGTTGGAAAAGACCTTAAGATCATCAAGTTCCAACCCCCCTGCCATGGGCGGGGACACCTCCCACTAAACCATCTCACCCAAAGCTCTGGCCACCCTGGCCTTGAACACTGCCAGGGATGGAGCATTTACAGCTTCCCTGGGCAACAGATTCCAGTACCTCACCACCCTAACAGTAAAGAATTTCTTCCTTATATCCAACCTAATAACCACCACATTACAAATCCTCCTCCACTCTTCTCCCTTATATTACTATCGAGATCATCTACTAACTCCAGGAGATTAGTAAAGACATTGGAGGTACATCAGAGCTTTCCACAAGTGGCATCTTCACAGCCATTCCCTGCCATGTCAGCGCTAAGTCTGCATAGTGTAAGTATTGGAGGTTGTTGCAAGAAGTTCTTTCCATTACTAAACATCAGTTGAAGAACAAAGTAGCATAGAACATGAAATGTGTATTTGTGTGTGATTTTACTTTGTTTCTTTTTCTGTAAAATTACAATAGTCGTACTTTTTATGTGTCAGAAGAAACCCCATGCATGTATGTTGAAGTGTTCCTTTTATACCATGTTATGGTGCCACATAGCACCAAGAAAAAAAAAAAAGAACAATGAATCTATGAGATCTTTACATTTTGGGTACCTACAGTACTGCTATTTCTTTAAAGCTTTTATGTCAGCCCCTGCAAGATCTGCTTACAAAAATAATTTTGTATATACTTCAAATTGCTGCCAATTCTCTCCACTCTCCTTGTTAAACCTGTTATTAAAACCAGTCAAATGGGAGGATACAGCAGTAAGCAGTAAGCCCTCTACTGAAGCATTGGGTAGAGCCCTTTGATAACAGGATGGCTTCTTCTTTTCCCTGGGGAAGATATAAGAGGCTTTTCTAAAACATTCCATGAAGAATTTAGTTAAGGGTGGCAGTATAATGGATCAAAGAGCATATTAAGTGGTCTGGGAAATCCTAAACTCAGAGGTTTGTTATTGCTAGTAATGTCATAATCTGACACGGCCAGTTTAGCAGCAGTGTTATAATTACAACATATTGAATAATTCTTCTTTGAAGTGAGATTGTATTTTTCAGTGGCATCCATGTCCTCTCATGGTTAAATGTGGTTGAATGTTTAAATGTTTGCATCATCAGATAGACATCTTAGATAATAAAAGATCATATTATAAATGTCAATTGCTTATTATATACCTGAATAATACACATTCTGCTTTTCTTAGAAACATACTTAAAAGTTATATTTTGAGAAGTAATTTATAATATCTAATACTGCTAGCTAACATTTACAGTGTGGCTATTTCTTCATTATGCTTTTCTGCGACAGTTCACATTTTCAACCTTACATTTCATTTGAGTTTTGCCTAAGAGAAGGCATGTATCTACTAGATCCCTTTTGTTGTGCGTTCTGTTTTTTAAATGAGAACCCTCATGAACTTCTCCAGAAAAATCAGAGATAGAAGGTCAGCTGCAGGTGACCAAAGGACAAAATCAACTTTGGAAGTGGTGGTACATTTTTTACACGTTACATGGGACAGGGTGAGTAGGGGTACTACAACTTTCATTTGTTGTTTTGTTTTTATTTATTTTCCCTCTACTTTTCTTACCAGTGGATCTTTCTTAGAAATCTGGCCATATAATTTTATTAGCCAGGATGTTACAAGAATTAATTTGGGAGCAGGCAATAATGAAATATGAACTTCTCAAAATCTGAATCCAATACATACATCAAGACAAAGTTTCTCCAGTGTATCCAGTTTGGTTTGTTGAGTTTCAGCATACTGATCCAGTTCAGGAAGTATGGCCTTTCCAGTAGCTGCCTTCTGTCTTGGTAAATCTAAAGAATAAACAATACTCAGTTGAAGAGAACTGACTGAATAAAAGACTGTCTGTATTGCAACAGCAAGCACAGAAAAATCAGATTGCTGGGGACCTGACTACCACTGCAGGATTCACAGCTGAATCCTGCACTGTCTTACATCATCCACCCGGTCTCCCTTATATTGTATAAATTAATGTTGGCATTTTGCAGTAATGTATTCCACATATCTGAAAAAGGGTGCTTCCATGTGTGAAGGCACAAAACCACCTCTAGAGTGATGTCCAGTTTCTGTGGCATGTTTATTCCTGCTTTATGTAGGAGAAATTGCAGGCTGAGCCCTGGGAAATTTCTGTTGTTGTAGTTAAAGAATATTTTATCCAATACTACTTAATTGTCACCTAATTACTGTGGAAATCTAGGGGGATGTTCCTATCTATCAGTCAGTTGGTTTGAATCACAGCAAAGGCAGTGTTAAGAGTTCGGCTCATCATCTCTGCATCCTCAGTTTGGTTTGATTCTTCACCATGTACATTACTACCTGTCTCCTTGTTGAAGTTTGGGCATTTGTTACAGTTTGATTCCTGTGCATCCTCTTGAATTCTAGCAGATGTAAAATCTGTGTTATCTCTTCCATTTCGTAGAAGTGTTATCACTTCATCACGACCATCAAAACTTTCATTTCTAAATTTGTCAGTCTTCTCTTGAGTTTCTTCCTCTTCTGATATATTTGAAGTCTCCAGTGTATTAGAATTTCCATCTTTGTCATCTGAGTTTTCAGGTGCCCCTAAAAAAGAAACAAGTTCATTAAAAATGGTGAGTTAATCTGCCATTACTCATTCTAAATATCCAGACTTTACTAGATAGTCTCAATGGTCTGGCCTAAAATATGCATCAAAAGTTCCTACTTGGTTTGAGCAGTTATTCATGGATCAGCAGTCTTCCTAGAGAAAACACTACAGTAAAGAATTGTCTCTTATCTGTAGCTGACTTTGAAAGGCTCACAAGTGACTATACATGCTTGAGTAATAAGATGGATGGATCAGTGACAGATGTTGAAGTTATCCTCTCCTTTATGCAACCTGCCTGCTTGCAGAAGTTTCACTTGTTGGTCAACTATGTTTGACTTCAGAGCCTGTGAAACCCAAAAAATGTATCAGATGATAAACACTTCTCTGTGCTGCAGTATTGCCTTCTTGTTTGGCTTCAGTCCTCTTTATTCTGAAACATGTGCACTTCTCTATAAAGGTTAGGTTGGAACCTGACCTATTACTGGTTGTAAAATGTTTTCCTCAAATAAAGTGACAGCAGAATTCGTGGCATAAAAAATGACAGTGAGCAAGTGAAGCAAATTATTAATGACCTTCCTCTTCCTATGCTTTTATTAGCACTGCTGTAGGCTCTAGGCTGAAGCTCTCACTCCTTGCGAAGGCAGGACTGGAGAGCTGTCTGGATGGGGACTGATGAGGCAGTTGCCACCAGGTATTATTGGAGCTCACAGCCTTGTTGAAGACAGCACTGTTCTGCATCCTGCAGAAAGATTGCTCTTGGTGTATAACTGCCCATGAATGCCTGCTGGAACCATTATGGCACATGGTTGCTTCAGTGAAGAGCAGAAGAGCTTGAAACACTGGGACATGAAGTGATTTGTTGATTTTCTGTTTCATTGGCAGTGAAAAAGGTGATGATTGCTTAATGATTGTTGTGGTTAATCTAAGATGCACCAAGATAAATAAAGTATTTCATATTGGAAAAGAAGATTCATATATTTAAAAAAATCGCATCAGCCTGCTTCTGAACTTCTAGGAACTGTTCAGTTCCTATATTTGAATTATTTTAAACATTCAAATTGAAGCAGACACAAACATGTTCCAAAATAGTAACCACAAACCTTCTAGGATGTCTGTTATGTCTCCATTTCCAGATTTAGCACTTGCCTCTTTTTCTTCCATACACTTTCTTCTTTTCTTTTCGTCTGCTTTCCACCTGATTGCCGCTAAATCATCAACGCTATCTTGAATTTTTTTTCTCTCTCTGGTTTCCCATTTTTCCCTTTCTGCTTTCTCAGCTTCCAGACCTCCAACAGCCCAGGCTTCTGCACAGGCTCTAATGAAAACACAAAAGCTTAACTACAATATAGCTATAAAAGCCCATCTTTATAAATGAGACATTTATCTTATCTTGTATGTGGAACTGCAACAAAGGTACCAAAGATATCCAAATGCTGGTGACTGCACCATCAGAGATCTGCCAGGAGTGCTGAACTCTGCTTTTCCAAATACCTGTTCCATTTCTGCAGAAATCAGGATCTGCCTTTGATCTACAGACTTGGTGTAAAACAATTCTGTTCAAAAATTAATTATCTTGCGAAAAAATGTTTGTTTGTTTGTTTATTTTCTAGGTATGTTAGATGTAGAACTCTGTAATACAATACCCTTCCACCCTTCATAAACTATACTGGTCAGACTACCTTTACTTCCCTGACAATATTGGCAAAACCTGGAGAAGTGATCATCAGCATTTGAACTTTACTGCTGTGTGAAGAAGATGGCTCTGTTTCTTACCTATCTTTTGGGAAAACTGGTCTGTCATCCAGATACGTTAGTTTTTTTAGTCGAACAGTAAGTGTTTTTCTATAATTAGCAATGTTCTTTATCACTTGGTTTCCCATCAAATTCAGCACATGCTGGAGAAACAAGCGAAACCATTTTTAAGGTTGAGTTGCAAAAAACCTCACTCTAGATCTGCACTTCACCTATAATTTTAAAAATAAGAAGTGAATAAAACATCTTGGGTGTTAGAGGTAACCTACAAAACCCCAAGTAATATTCAATAACATTTCTTTTAGACCAGTACCTATTGTGAACTGGCCTACCCAATGAAACCTTTTAATGGGATTCAGGTATATACACGATACAAACTTTCAGCTAAATTTGGCTTACCAAATTAGGCACATTCTCCAAAACAGTTATAATAGCTGGATCACTTAGATTGTTGTGGGAAAGATCAAGAACAGAAATACTTGGGCATTCTTGCAAGTGCTGTATGTCTTCCACTGTTTCTAATTTGTTGTGAGCAATTTGCAGAGTCTGCAGGACCTTCAGACAAGCTGTCAGAGAAGAACAGAACAGTGAAAAGAAAGGTGAGAGCCATTACTTCAAGGAAGGTTTTCTGGAGCAAATAGAAAACTGCATTGTCAAAATCATAGAATCACAGAATGGTTTGAGTTGGAAAGGACCTTAAAGCTCACCTAGTTTCAATCACCTGCTACAGACAGGGACATCTTTCACTAGGCCAGGTTTGCTCAAAGACACATCAAAATAATTGTTTATATTTAATTGGGAGGGTTTTTTTCTAAATTCATTATTCTGCTATATGCACTTTCTGGCTATGCCTTCAAAGCTGCTTTCTTCACCCCCCAAAAACAGATATTTGGTTTTAGGGGAGTGGTTGTTTTTAATTTACGTTTCAAAATAGTTAGTTACGCAACAGCAAGAGCTTCTGTTTCAAATTACTCCCAGTGTACACAAATGATAATGTAGAGGAATTATTTTTTATTTTATACTGAAGATGGAATACACCCTTTAACATGATAAAATATGTAAAATATTTGGTAATTGCGTCTGCAGCTGTCAAAGCACACCTTAACCATAAAGCAAGTAATGAAAACTGGATTGCTAGCCTGTCTGCAACACCTAAGTACTGAGATAGTATTAACAAGTGAGAAAAAACTACTTAATTATCCTAAGTATCCATGCGTAAGTAACTATTACATCCTTTTTGTTTTGTCATCTATTTAAATTGCAACATACATAAGTTTGACTCTTCAATAGAAGCCTTGCGGACTTCGGTATTGCACAAAATTTTAACAGAAACAAAAAAAAACCTTGAAACTAGTGCCACTAATAATAGCTTAGCTTAGTCAAAGCTTAGAAATATGGGCTCATTATAGGTTAAAACACGTTGTTTCAACAGTTCTTACAGAGATTCTCAATGGTCTTGATGTAGTTGTTACTGATATTGAGGGAATCCAGCTTTTGTAAGGGTTCAAGGTTTTCAATTTTCTTAATTAGATTGAGTTGCAGGTAGAGGCAACGTAACTCTGTCTGAGCCTCCAAGTTCTCAATTTTTGTTATGCCATTGCATTCCAGCCATAAACACTTCAACCCAGTATACTCCTCAAGATTCTCCAGGCGGTCAAATCCTGCAGGAAAAGATGTTTCAAAATTAAATGGCATTGGCCGAAACCAAGTCTTTGGAAGAGTAAATTTCATTAAAAGAATGCTGCTGAAACAGTCTGCAAGAACACTTGTACTCAAGCTGCTGCCAGTATTTCCACTGAATTAATTGATACAGTACATGGCCCATAAAAGGCAAAAACATATGTACATATTGTGGTCTATATCTCATGCAGCCCTTTACGTGCTCAACTAATTCTGAGAAAATAGCAAAACCAGGGCCAAATGTAGAAGGTAGATTTATTATGTCCTATTTATTTAAAACAATTACGCTAACCTGAACCAGCTAACCCCTCATGCAAAAACCTACTGCAAGATGACAAGAGGATGGTCCATGTTCATCCTAGCACTTCTTTCTCTTTCAGTTGTATCTGAGAACGTGTAGCAAGTCTTTACTGTAACTTTTTTCCTCACTGTTTTTTATTTGGTGGTAATAAAGTCCCCAAAGCTGGAAAACAGTTTCTTTGTATAAACACATTTAAGAAGAAATATATGTATTTTCCTCTAAATGCAATCCAGACCAGTATTTTAAGATATTTCTCAGAGGTTACTGGGTTTTCTGGGAAAAAAAGAGTGTTCGTTGACTCCTACTGATCTTTTGATGACTCTACAAAGTGAAGTAGGACAATTAGATCTATAATGAGTTAACTTTTCCACCTCCATCCTGACTCACTTTGTTTCACAATTTCATTATTACATAAAATTAAACTATGTTTCTAATTTAAAAGAACTATTAGATACCTTACTTTAATAAGCCATAAAATAGATACTCTGCTAAAATGCTATGTAAGTCTAACTGGTCATGTTCACATCTTACCTTTATAATGCAAGTAAAGAGTGTCATTCAAGTATGGGGTCATGTAGAATTTCTGCTGTTTACAGATGTCTTGCAGAACCTTTTTTGTCATTCTAAAATAACAGAAGGAGCAGCAAAACAAAACAACAACAACAACAAAAATATATTTCAGTGCATATTCTGTAATCTCTGGGTTTTTACCAGATATCAGTGCAATACAACTAATCATTCTTTTGTGCATGAAAAATAGCTTCGGCTTTCAAGGCTATAGTCTAAATAAAAAAAGCAGTAGTCTTCTTTAGAGTGTCTTTCCATTTCTACCTGTCGGAAGTGAGTTACCATGCTCTTCCACTAAAAACCAGAGTGTATGTAGGGAATGGGTAAGGAATGAGAAAGTCCATCTTCTTGGAAAAGGTCAGCATGATTCTATGTTGTATTCTGGTTCTTTCCCCTCCAATTCTTTCCCCCATTCCTTGCTGCTTCGGTGCAGGACCTTTGCTGGCAATATGCAACGTTTTTATGAGATTAGAAAAATCAATAGATATCAACCTAACATTTTAATGAAATGCTGACTCTGAAATAGAACTCAAGGCAGTTTTAATATACGACTGTGATGGCTAGGAATGCTGCAGTAAGAAAAACAATCATACCTGTTCAACTGTAATTGCTTAGTATTCAGCTCCATTCCTTTTGGGATTCATATAAGTGAGAAGGATGCTGTGGACTTCAGCTCTACAGTACAGGTGCAGAGGACTTGGTAAGAGAAACTGGGCAGAAAGCTACAGTGTGAAACAGTGGAGGTTGCAAGGGCAAAGCACTTGGGCTAGCAGGCAACAGCAGCCAGACAAGGCCGAAGCTGCAAATGGCAGTCCGCAGGACAGCAAAACCCCAAAGGGTAAGTAAGTACATGGGTGGCCTTAAAACTTTTAAAACAGGAATGGATGGCAGTGAAGAGTAGCAGAAGGGATGAGTTATGCCATTATCTCGGGACCCTGTGCTAGACAGCACGGGATCAACAGTTTCATAGAGCTGGTGGTCCCCTAGCATGGACTTCGCAAAGAGTGACAGGACACTGTTTTGGGAGGCAAGCTGTTCAGGGCTATATAAAATTTAGTAACATTATAGACAAGCAACTTGGGATCCATACTGAAAACACCTAGCAAAAACAGTCCAAAGCAGAAAATACCTGTATCTTCTTGCTTAGAAAGATTAGGTTCTATAAAACAAAATTCCTGAATAAAACTTCTATTTGATATCCCTCACTTCAAGAAATATTGTATGAGTACAATGTTAAATAGTCCAAAATTATTTTCTACTCCTGAATTCTTTATTAACAAAATGCACTTTGCATGTGTGGCCATAAGCATTTGTAGGCCTAAGGTCTGTCACAGTAAGATCTTCTTGGCATGAAGATATTTTCAAAATAACAAAAAAATCTTGAGTAAATGCAGTGAATTTAAACCTTTTGTAACAATTTTGCTTTTAGATATATTTACTTACTAAATTAAAAATCTCAGTATTGCTTAAGAACAAACCTGTAATACAGTCAGCTAGTCAACTGAGCTCCTGGAGCAATGTAAAATATGAATGTCAGCCTGTAACAGCCCTGTAAGCCAAACATGCCTGACATAAATCTCTGAAGGAATGAAAGATTTATAAACCTTGAGCACAATCTTTAAATATATAATGTTTACTTGTATTGTCAGCGTAGGTAGATTGTTGCATGCTAGCTACTTGCAGTATATCCCACTATTTTTCGTTGTGCTATTTGAGGTAGGATTTAATCAAATGATTAGCATTCTCATGGAATTTATAGGATCACAAAAGGTGTTTCTTCAAAACTCTATCTCATGTGCAGTCACTGCTCTCTGCTGCCATTCTTCATAAGAACTTAATTCTGAATTGTGTTAGGCTATCAGCCCAGGTTAACCAAGTTTTCTCTGTAAGTCCAGTCCATTCCACCTTCTGATAACTCAGTGAGTCTTTCCCTTGGCTTTAAAAGACTGTTAACTGTCTCTAATAGAACAGCTGCCCTAAAGTTAGCATCAATATAAACTTGGGAGTTTCACAAGCAAGTAAGCAGATACAAGAACTGAGTAAATCTTCACTGTTCCTTATATATCACTCCACAACTAGCCCATGTGACAGGACTTTCGACAATGTAACTAAATAGTACCAAATGTTGGGTTTAATTTTCATAGTTGCTTGCAATATGCTTCATCAGAGGTAACAGGAGAATAATCCCATTTCACAAGTATTAATAAAGAGCCATTGCAGCACATCCTGGTTTAGAGTGAACCACAGTTAGAGCGAAAGCTTACAAAGGAGATATGTATCTTATTGTCAACCATTTGAGGTACTTCTGGATTTCTTCTACTAAAAATTATCTTGAAAACTGTAATATCTACATTGTGATGAATTAACACAATGCATTATCTGATTCAAAGCTGAGAAATAGTCAATTCTACTGAAAAATTACTCCCAAAAGAGTTTGTGAAGTTTTCTCTTGAACTATTGAACAGACTACATAGTCTACTTAGAATGTAGTTTTGGTACTATGGCCATAAAAAAAACCACAAACCAACAACAAAAAAAAACAAAACAAAATAAAACCAAGAGCTGTACAAATGCTGGAAACAGCACTGATTCCTGATTTATCAACTAGTCTCATCTTTAAAATTGTTCCCCTGAATTAACATTAACATACAGAACAGCAAAACTCCCACTGACTCCAGTGATGCCAGGATGAAAATTAAAAACTTCCGCAACAAATGTATTACCTTAGACAGCCCCTCTTTTCTTCTGTCCTTTGATGGAATAAGCTGGCGACAGCTTTGTGATCACCATCTGATTTTTGCTCATTCTGTTGATCTGCTCTGGACACCCAGTTTATGGCTTTGTCTTGAGTTTTAACAACTTTGTGAGCAAGAAAACAAGTTGCAGTTTAACAGCGTGAGTGGGGAAAAATTTATCATGTTGCTAATTATTTTAAAGAAATATTGAAGAGTAATTTAATATGAACTTCAAGAAAATAAGTGTTATAACCAAGATTTTTGCTGACATGTTTAATGAACGGAAGCTTATTTAGATGGCAAAGTAGTAAAATAAGTAGTGCCAACATAAACTGTTAAAATCTCCATTTTATATTTTATTAGATCTGGAAGTCACTAGTCATACGATTATTATAACGTACAGTGAAGTAAAGTACTGGCACCTGTGTTCTTATGGTTTTAGACATCTATTATATACATTTAATTAGCAATAATTTGAGCTTAACAAGACTGCTAACTTTCCACGTGAAGAGACCACAGTAATGGTGTATCTGAGCCATTACAAGCACTGTTATTCTAGCTCTTCCAGAAATTCACCCTTTTGTACTCTGTGGAGGTTGTCTCCAGTGCTATACTCATTCGAGCTGTCTTTAGATTGCCATTGATTAATTGCATTTTCAGTACTCTTCAGAATCTTGCTCTTCACCTTCTAGTTGCACTTGTAGTCCATACACTTAAAAAGAGACAGCGCAAACAAGATGATTGTGCCAGCTCACTTAAATATGATTGTAATTAAAACATTTAGAAGTCAGACTGGTTGTATAATTGCAACACAGGGAAAGGTATCCCTCCAGCAAGAGGAAAGTAAAGCAACAGAACATGAAAAAAAAAAAAAAAAAAAGGCACAAGAAGATAGCAATTGAATAAGCCTCAGTTATGGCAAGATTTTCAGTGGCTATACTGAGGGAAAGAATAAACTCATATTGCATCCAGGTGAGTAATGACAAACTTGATGTCTAGGCTTTATGTTCACTAACGTTACCTAAATTAGCCCTAGCAATCCAGCTGAACAGGCTCACCTGTGCTGACAGAACTGCCTTCATTTTCTGTGTGGGTAGCTTCATTGTTGGTGTCATTCAGAGAGTCCCCTGACAAATATTGTGCAGTAACCTCCCCTCCATGGCCTTTGTCTGAGTCTCCAAATTGTGACTGCATTTTAAGATATGTGATTTAGATCAGCCAAGTCACTGTTTGATTTACTATCCAACTTTTCCAGTCAAACCTCTATAGGTTTTAGAAGGAGAACCTGTTACAGATAAAAAGAGCATTATGAATAAATTATGAAGCCTGCATGGAACGGATAACCTAGGTCTAGTCATTGTGAAGATACCAAAATGCAGGGAGCGTTTATGCTCAGAGCAGGGAGGAAGACGGCTGAGAAGCCTTCCAAAGTAGAGTAAGTCAAATCTTCCCTTTCAAGGCCATAGAGCTGAGGATGCAGTGATGGTGCTCAGCCTGCTCTTGGGAGATGCCTGCTTCCTGCCCCACAACCCGGGCAGGCTCCTGCTGCATTTTCATTTCCTCACGGGGACGGCAGATGCAGTAACATTTCCCCTCAGCGCTTTTTGCTGCTATAGCCCTCTAGAGCTCTCTAGACAAGAGTTCAGCCCTAAAGCGCAATGCCATATTGCCCATTAAACCTCCAGCTCCCTTTACCCGACCCCAGACCCGGGAAAGCCTGGGCCCAGCGCTCGGGCTCGGACCCGGACCCGGACCCGGACCCGGACCCGGACCCGGAGCACCACTCGCCGCGGTATCTCCCAGACAGTAGGAGATGTAAACGGGGACGGAGCGACGGCAGCCCCGACTACAGCCCCTGAGGCGCGTGCAGCCAGATCCCTACCTTGGTCGCCCTAACAGCCGCTGTCGCCATGGCGACTCAGCGCGCAGGCCCACAAGGCCACTCGGCCTCTCCCGGCGGCCCCGCGCAGCGGCGCCGGTGGCGGCGGGAGTACGGCACCGCGGAACGGCCGGGCCCGGCCCTGCGGGTGAGTCTGTCTGGGCCGGTAACAGCCCCGAAAGGGCAGCGGGTTCCTCCTCGTGGGCCGTGGCTGGGGGAGTGGTTTCCCTCCGTGACAGTACGGCCTGGGCCGGGGCTGAGCGGGATGCTGAGGCGCCGGGTCAGGCCCCTTTGTCGCTGGGGCTGGTCGGGGAGAACGCTCCCTGAATTTGCTGCCCTCCCGGGAGGGGTGAGACCTGAGTCCCGGTGTGCACTTGGTCACGGCCCTACCGCCAGTGGCGATAAGGTGGTGGCTGCGGCTGTAAATCGGGTGCTGCCGAGGGTTCTGTGCTTGTAGGCAATACTGACCAGTAAAACCCATGTGAGGCTTTTTCTGCTGAAAGCTGGTATGCGGTGTGATATTAACGCACGGCAGTGTGCCGTGGTTCAAGGATTTTCAGTCCCGAGTGCCGCGGTTGGTGCTTCTGTCTCTCAGCTTGCTTTGTTTTTCCTGTAGTTTTCTGTGCTTGAAAGAGCCTGTTGTTTCTCCTGTGCTCAGCTCTCCTTCTTCACTGGCAGAGTGATCAGGCACTGGAACAGGCTTCCCGGGACACTAGTGGAATCACTGTCCCTGAAAGTGTCTAAAAAACTGTGTAGACGCTCTTAGTGACATGGTTTAGTGGTAGCTTTGGCAGTGCTGGGTAATGGTTGGACTTGATGATCTTAAAGGTCTTTTCCAACCTAGTTGATTCTGTGATCTGTGCTTTATTTACAGTATGATTGATCAGAGCCATTGCAGTATAAGTGGTTAACACCTGAATGCTTGAACAATGGCTAAGGAGCAGGTAAATGACTGAAGATGATGGTAGGTGATATCCAAACTTCAGCAGGCTGACTTGTGGATTTCCTACATCAAAATGGTGCTCAGACCTCAGGCTACAACATGCTGAATCTCAAAGGTTATCCTCACAGTCTGAAAAGTTTATGTGTCCCAAGAAGCAGTTGTAATTTTCTGTGTCTATTTTTTTTTCCAGCCTTGTGGTCACCATGGCAGCAGTGGATCGTTTCCACCTCTTGTACAGAGAGATCAGTCGTTCCTGCAATTTTTACATAGAGGCCCTGGCTATAGTTGGAGCCTGGTATACAGTCAGGAAGTGTATGTCCCTTGCGATTGACACTTACAGCATGCTTAGGTTGCATTTAATTCCGAAGCTGGGCTGTGAGATTGATCTTGTCAAGCGCTATGGAAAATGGGCCGTGGTAACTGGTAAGAGACTGAAGCAGAATATTTGCTTATGTGTATAACATACTGTGTCATACTGTAAAACTCGGTAGCATATACTGCTGGGTGAACTTCCTCTCACAAGCTGGGCATGTATTACCTCATGTTGTGAGTTACTCTGCATGAGCAGTGACAGTTGTACAGCACCTTACTAAATTAAATTTCTCAGGAGATGGGCAAGCTCAGTGTGTTGACTGACTGCTGGGAAAGAATCAGAGAGCAGTTTGTCCCAAAACTTGAAGGTACACCCTGAACATCTACAGGTGTAGACAGAGATGCAGACAAGATCTTCTTTTTGTTGTGGGGTTTTACATACTCGGGTTCTTCTGTAATTGAAGGAACTGTCAAAATAGAAGGCTGGGGCTGCTCTGATTTTCACTTTGGGATTTTCTGTTACAGGTAGCACAGATGGTATTGGGAAGGCATATGCTGAAGAGCTGGCGAAGCGTGGTGTCAACATTATCTTAATCAGCCGAAACAAAGAGAAGCTGGAGGCTGTATCTAAAAGCATATCTGAAACCTATAAAGTGGAAACAGATTTCATAGTAGCTGACTTCAGCAAGGGTCGTGAGCCTTACCCAGCCATTAAGGAGGCTCTGAAAGACAGAGAAATTGGGATTTTGGTGAATAATGTAGGAATGTTTTATTCCTACCCAGACTATTTTACCAGTCTGTCTGAGGATATGCTGTGGGACATGATCAACCTAAATATTGCTTCTGCTAACATGATGACACATATTGTGCTGCCAGGCATGGTAGAGAAGAAGAAAGGTGCAATTGTGAATGTTTCTTCTGCATCCTGTTGTCACCCAACACCAATGTTGACGATCTATGGAGCTTCTAAAGTAAGCTGGGGTGTAATGTTTAATGGTATGCACTGAAAAAGTAGATTATAGCTTGTTTGCATTTGTTTGGTGTTTTTCACATTCAGCAACACTTGAATTTGATTTCACAGTCAGGTTTTCTAGAGATTTTTTCAAATACCAGAGGTGAGTGTTGCATGTATGGTGCAGTGAACTCTTTAGCCTCACTGGTGCTCTGAACCAAAGTTAGTGCTTCCTGGATTATGTGCAAATTATGGCATAACAGTAGTTCTATGAGAAATGTTGCTTCTCAGAGGAATGATGTGCAAAGCAAAGTGGCAGTTCTATGAGCTGTTGAAAGAGTCAAGATTTCATCTCTCCTTTTCAGCTGAACTGTGCAGACATACCTCAAGCTACTTACAGGCTAGTATTTGGTAGTAAGAGGAGCTATACTCATGCTCAAGCCACCATTGTGACAAGGGCTGTGCCCAAACCAAGCCACTACTTCACCTAACACCAAGGGGCAGAAGGCTTCTTATACCATTGTCTGTACTGTATTTGGGGAAAATTGAAAGGAACTTCCCTCACTATAATTATTATTCCTAAGGAAATCCAGTCACTCATGCATAGGATAGGACAGCTGGGTGATGCTTGAAGGGGATGCAGATTTACATGGGATGGCCTGCCTAATCCACAAAAGCAGCTGAGACTGTAGATGGGATCTTGCCCAGAAGCAGTGTCTAAAGACAAGTGGTTATTGCTCCCAGCTATCTGTGGCTGCCCTCTCCTGCAGCCTAACCCCTGTGCAGCCTTGCTTCTGAGGTAGCTCTTGTAAGTACTTCCCTTTGCCTGGAGCAAAACCAGCTCTTTAATACCCCAGTTTATAAAACTTGCAGATTTTCTTCAGTGAGGAAACTGTTTAAAAATTCCTATTTCTGTTGCAAAGTAATCTCCCTCCTTCATTATGCTAAGTTATGTAGAACTGCACTCTAAACTAAAACAATTAAAAGGCCTGGATGAAAAAGACCAGAACAAACCCAAACGTATACAAATTTCTTCCTTTAGCTGGCATTATTAGTCCAAATCCTGTAGCAGCAATACAGTTTAAAGCCTGGCCTCTGAATACTATTACATGGGCATGGCAGTATGAACAAGCGGTTCTAGCATGCTAAGCCTCTGTGCAGTAACAGCACATGGTGTTGGAAGTGGTTGGATTGTTTTGTTTTCCTAAAGCAGGTGTAAGAGGTGCTCTTTCTCAGCGGTAACTGGCTTTGCAGCACAGCAGTAGCTTCAGTACAGCATCAATGTTGCTGCCTTGGTAGCTTCAGTACTGCATCAATGTTGCTGCCTTGGTAAGACTGAGCTGTGATCATTTTTCTGTCTGATTCCAGCAATCCCAGTTGTGCGGGTCTTTTTTTTTTTTTTTTTTTTTAATTGTAAAAGTAAAATGAGCTAAATGAGGTAATACAGATGCACATAACTAAATTAATGTTTAATTTTGCATCGATGGAGTCCCAAGAAGTAATTAATTTAGCTTCTGGGGAAGTTGAATACAAAATGCACTTGTAAATATGTTGAAGAATGGGACTTCATTTTGTCCTTTTGGCATTTTGTCCAGCTTTGGGGTGTCTTTGCAATGCCCCCAAACTAAACAAGGTGTTTTAGATGAAATAAATGTTTCTGTGTTTGTGTTTAAGCAGAATTGTCAGATTCTTTGCCAAATTCACATCAGAGAGTTAAGTGGTCATTTTGTCCTGCAAGTTACGGTACCGTTGCAGTTGCAGGTTTTTAGCAAACAAGTAACAACAAATAGAAATGTTGATAATACTTAAGAAATGTGTATTTTTATACTGGTTATTCCAGTGTCTCTTTCTGCTTTTGTCTTTCTAGACCTACCTGGACTATTTCAGTAGAGCACTACATTATGAGTGTGCCTCAAAAGGAATTTTTGTTCAGAGTTTAACTCCATTTGTCATTTCTAAAATGACATCGTGCAGTGGCATGACATCAAAGAGATCTTTCTTTTTTCCTTCTGCTGAAGAGTATGCAAGTCATGCTGTTTCTACTCTTGGGTTATCTACAAGGACTACTGGTTACTGGAAGCATGCAATAAAGGTAATATAATCTATTAAAATATTTAATGTTTATCACAAGAAGTTAAATAAGCTTTTACTGTTTACTTTCTTAGGAGAATGAATGAAAACTATGCTCATATTCTGAAAATGTGCAGTATTTATTGCTGGACTGAAAGGCATTGGGCCATATTTTCTCACTAATTCTACTTTAGAATGTTATACTTGTGCATGCTTTTTTTTTAGTATGAGTGAATCCAGTTCCCAGTTAATGTGCAGCAAAAAATGGGGGATTTTTTATTCAGTAATAGAGAGTATCTCATTTGACTTGGGGTATTGCTGACTGGGCAAGCATTTCACTGTCGTCTCTGCTAACAGAAGTTTTTTTTTTTTCAATCTTACTTTATTGAGTATATTTCTACTTTAAGGAAGAGTGGGTAGAGAGGATGGAATAATAGCGGAAAGAAAAGCCCACATTTTTTATTCTAAGCTATCTAAAAGCAGGTCCTCCATTTGTTAGCTTTTCATTTTGGAGGGCAGACTCTGGGCTGCAAAGTAACTTTAAACATTGGTCACATCTCATGTGTCGTACCTAGTGGCCTCCTATCCATTAAGTCAAGCAGAAGGAGTTAAAAGAAGTGAGGATTAGTCCAAAAAGAATAAAACAGACAGGAACAACTGTGTCAATTAAAGAAAGTACACAGTATTGCTGTCGCAAACTTGAACAAAGCATTTCAGGATTTATTTGCAGAACGTAGCTGTGGGCACTACTTCCAAAATGGCTAAAGATATTCTTCTAGGGGTTCAGTTTAAGGCTTAGTTTGTTAATGTTCAAGCTTTTGACTTGCTTTAGTTGTAATTTGAGAAGTGGTTTGTTTACTTTAATGAAACTTATCTTAATCTGTCCCTTTGTTTCTCTTCTCTTGTCTCCCTGTGTCTCTACACAGTTCACGTTGGGTGAGCACCTACCTGAATGGATCTGGGCATGGCTTGCATTGTATATTTTCAGAATGACACGCAAGGAAGCTTTAACATGTAAAGTGAAATAGGAGTATTCAGATGTCCTTTGGAACAAGTACTGTATATTCTGATCAGAGTGCTGCCAAAATGTGTAGTGAATGCTGGTGGGCTTACTGTAACTTACCTATACCTTGCTACATGTAACCGAGACATCCGAAGTCTGGATCCTCTCTGCGTGTCGCATTAAACTGCTCTTCTGCTGCTTTCTTGTGTGACAGAGAGCTAATTTTTTGAGGTCAACGTGTGTTCACTTTCTCTTCAAGGCAGGAGGGCAGTTGTTTTTGTATAGTGCTACACAGTTTCAGCTTGCAAAGTTGACTGAATTTGAGAATTCCCCAAATTTGTTAGAAATTCCCCCCCCCCCAAACATGACACTGTTCAGAAAGACAACCCCTGTCAACTGTATTAAGTTTCTTTAACACGTAGTTTTGCAAAATTTTCTGTCTTCTAATGGCAGATGTTTGTGTGTTTCAAGTATAAATATTGTTGCCTTTGAATTATGTTATTTAAGTAACTTTTCAAGGTGGATAGCAAAGGACTGTTGACCTGGAGATAGTTTAAACGACTGAAGAGGTTTTACAGAACTGTAAAAGATGTCCTGGCTTCAGCAATAGCAGTCATTTTTCTCCTTCGTGGTAGCTGCTGCAGTGCTGTGTTTTTGACTTTCAGCCTGGCAGTGGTGCTGATAGCACCGATGTTTTTAGTTACTGCTCAAATGTTTGGTCTGGCCAAGGACTTTCTGAGCCTCATGCTTTGCCAGGGAGGAGGGGGAGCTGGGAGGAAGCAGAGACAGGACACCTGACCCAAACTGACCAAAGAGGTATTCCATAACACAGCACATCATGCCCAGTATGTAACTGAGAGTTATCCGGAAGGACTAGGACTGCCAGGTAGGACTAGGTATCAGGAGGTGCTTGGTCAGGCTGGGGGGGCGAGTTATCGGTCGGCGGGTGGTGAGGTGTTGTATTCTCTTCCCTTGTTATTTCCTTTATCATTATTATTGGTGGTAGCAGTGGTGATTTGTGTTATACCTAAGTTACTAAACTGTTCTTATCTCAACCTGTGGGAGTTGCATTCTTCTGATTCTCCTTCCCATCCCTCCGGGAGCAGGGGGAGGGCAAAAAGGAGAGGGGGGGAAGTGAGAGAGCGACTGTGTGATTTATGGCTGACTTTGTTTAAACCACGACAAGGAATTTGGAGATAACCTTGTATGCTTTCTTATTCAAAGTGTCAATGATCTTGATAATACTTTAAAATATTGCTTCAGCAATCTGAAATACAGCTGAAGAATTGAATAAAGAATATAAAAATATAAAAACATAATCACTAAAGAAAATGAAGTAACATTTTGTTTAAAAATACTGATTATTTTCCTAAGATGATGATAATAATAATAATGATAATGATAAAAAACGTTACTGAAGTTTTGATGCTCTATGATTTGTATGCTTTTGTTTATATATATAAATATGTGCATGCATACGTACTTACTAGAAGTCACACACTGCTTATATGTGTTACAGGCTGTACATGTGGGAGTCAGGAAAGCTGCCCTTTCTGTGTGCGTCTAATAGCTACCTAAAAGAGAAACATGACATGTGTTAAGAATGTTCTCAATCTTTTGTATTTTATAGTGCTATGGGCTCCTTAGTACTGTGTCCTGCGTTCAGCAGTAGCAGTCATTTTTCTCTTTCTTGGTAGCTGGTGCAGTGCTGTGTTTTGACTTTCGGGCTGGGAACAGAGCTGATAAAAATGATGTTTTGGTTGGGCCAAGGACTTTGTGAGCCTCATGCTCTGCCAGGGAGGAGGGAAGCCGGGAGGAAGCAGAGACAGGACACCTGACCCAAACCGACCAAAGAAGTATTCCATACCACAGCACGTCATGCCCAGGAGGTAACTGGGAGTTACCTGGAAGGGCTAGGAGGGACTGCAGGGTTGGAGGAGGTATGGGTCGGTGCTTGGTCGGGCTGGGGGGGCGAGTTATCAGTCAGCTGGTGATGGGGTGTTGTATTCTCTTCTCTTGTTATTTCCTTTATCATTACTATTATTGGTGGCAGCAGTAGTGATTTGTGTTATACCTTAGTTACTAAACTGTTCTTATCTCAGCCCGTGGGGGTTGCATTCTTTTTTGATTATCCTCTCTGTCCCTCCGAGAATAGGGGGAGGGCAAGAAGGGGAGGGAGTGAGTGAAAAGCTGTCTGGCTGGGGTTAAACCACGACATACTGCTTTGTGATGTTATAGTGAAATCTTACACACAGCAGGATAACTCGAGGAGCATCTTTTCCGTGATTGAGCTGGCATTTCTGGCTTGAATGTTTTGGTGCTTATTCCCTGATGGTGACAGTCGGAGGTCAGTACACTATAGCAGCTTGCTCCCCAAAATCCCTACTGGGGATAGCAACTCTGATAGTTGCTGTGCTTGGAGTTGGAGTAGCTGCATTGTCTGTTGTAGTCAGAGTTTGAGCAGCTGCTGTACTTGACACTGGGGTTGGTGTCACTGTGTTGGTGTCCTGGGTTCAGCAGTAGCAGTCATTTTTCTCTGTCTTAGCTGGTGCAATGCTGTGTTTTAGACTTTCAGCCTGGGAATAGCGCTGATAACACCGATGTTCTTAGTTGTTGCTCAGTAATGTTTACCCTGACCAAGGACTTTCTGAGCCTCATGCTCTGCCCGAGAGGAGGGAAAGCTGGGAGGAAGCAGAGACAGGACACCTGACCCAAACTGACCAAAGAGGTATTCCATACCACAGCACATCATGCCCACTATATAAACTGGGGGCAGTTACCTAGAAGGGCTAGAACACTGCTCAGGTCGGGCTGGGTATCGGTCAGCGAGTGGTGAGCGGTTGTATCTCTTCCCTTGTTATGTCCCTTATCTTTATTATTATTGGTGGTAGCAGTAGTGGTTTGTGTTATACCTTAGTTACTGTTCCTATCTCAAACCATGGGAGTTATATTCTTTCAGTTCTTCTCCCCATCCCTCTGGGAGAGGGGGAGAAAGAAACGGGGGAGTGAGCGAGTGGCTGTGGGGTTCTGAGTTACAGGTTGGGCTTAAACCATGACAAGGTTGTATGTACAGCAGTTGCATGGTGTTGCTGAGTAGTGCAATTGTGATTATAAAGTGGGTGTTGCTCCTCCACAATAGCTCTGCATTTCAGGGTGTTGCTCCTCCACAATAGCTCTTCAGAGCCTGAAGTTTTAATAGGGACAATGCCCATAAAGCTTTTATGAGTAGGTTTTGTAAAGAACGATTTAGCAGTTACCCTCATAGTTCAGACTGGGTCCAAATCTGTTTGCAAGTAAGTAATTCTAAGTTGTATAATTGAAATATTTGAAAAGTTATTGTCCAGAGGGAAATTCAGGCCATAATTTTTATGATGAAGGAGCTACCTCCCTTGACACTCTGATACTGCTGTGTTACTGCAGCACCATAGTCTCAGGTTTTTGGGGGTGAAGGAAGGAGAGGTGTCAGGGCAGAGATCCACTCAAAGGTTTGGTCTGACATTCACCTCATGTCAGCTTCGGCTGACCCCAACCTCAGCTGGCCCTGGAAGCTATTTGCTTGAATTATGAAGTATAAAAGTACGTATGAAGTGCTGCGAATAACTCCTTATCCCTGTTTGTAGCTAGGATTTAAAGAAATACACCTGATTTTTAGCAAGGGCTTAAACGAAGCTTGCTAAACGTGAAGCTGCAGCACATTTCTACTTCCACCGTTCTCTCACACTCGTCGGGCGCTGCCGGTCCGTGCCCGCCGGTCACATCCGCATCTCAAGCCTCTTGCAGGAGTTGGACTCCGCTTACCGACCTCCGACTAGCCGTATTTTCATTCAGCCTCTCCAGAACACCCGAGCACCGCCTCCCTTAGCACGGCCCCTTACGCCTGCCAGTTCACTGCCGGCGAGGGGCTCTCGCGAGAACACGGTGATAAACAGTGCACAAAATGGCGGCGACAGGCCGGGAGACGGCGGCACGGTGAGAGCGGGGGTGCGGCGGCGTGACGGCGGCGTTGTTGTTGTTATTGCTGCTGCTGGTGCTTGCGGGTAGTGCGGTGCCACCAAGTGGTGTGGGGCGCGGAGCGGAGCGGGGCCTGCAGCACCCGGCCGCCGTTCCCGGTCCTCGCTTCCTCTCGCCTCTGGGGCTCCCTCGTCCGCCGCCGCGCTCCGGGCGGCTGCCGCTCCTCCTCAGCCTCTGCCTAGAGCGGAGTGAGTTGGGAGCGGCGGCGCTGTACGCGCGGCTGCGCGGGCCACTCGCGGAAAGGGGCACGGCTGCGCGGTGGTCGGGAGCGGCTGTCCCGTCTGTGGCATGGGCAGGGCTCCCGGAGCGGGACCGCTGCTCCACCAGAGTGACTCCGAGCGGAGCTGCTCAGGGGCTGGGCAAGGCTCAGTACTTGCCCAGCCTCACGTAGTAAGGCTGTTACACAGAATAAACAAGTGAGCGTGCTGGCCCTTTGTTTCTAGTTTCTGTATTTCATCATTATGCTTACGCACAGTCAGCTATAAGGATTTTGCTCGTTTGTGTAGTTGAGTATTTTACTGCTTTAAGGGTTATAAACGAAGTGATAAGGTAGGCAGAGCTCAGCCAAGAGCAGGAGTAGCTGTGCCTAGTTTAGGGATGAAGAGGATGAAGAGGAAACCTTTTAATCACAAGCAATTCACAGTCTGTCAGGATGTCAGAACTAGAGGGGAATTCCATCCCTGTTACAAAGAAATACATGTGAATGCTATATAAAGTTAAATGAAAGTGGATAGCTGTCACATGCAGACTCCATTTGTTCTGTTGCTGTGGTATGAGTTAAGCCCATCCTTCTCCTAAGGAGCGTGAATCCCTCATAAGGCTCCTACTTTTCAGGCCTGGTCACTGTAGCGATGTATAGTTCTGCTTCTCCAAGTTCTGTGACAGATCAGATGAATATTGCTTATTACTTGTGTCTTAATGGCCATTTACGTACCACTTGCTGGTTAAATGTTTGGAATTAAAAAAATTGCTAGCATTACTATTTTTCCTAAATGTTTCTCACACCTTAAAGTATGGAGGCTTCCCATCCATGTGCAAAACACCTTCTACACTGTCCTTTAACTCCACATTACTACATCTGTAGTCCCAGCCCTTGTTTTCTCAGGTGCCTGTGTTGTAGTAATACACATTCCACCTCAAGAAGATTTGAAAGACTTCTTTCAAGTGCAGAAACGGAATGTTTGCTCTCTGCAGTATCTCTTTTCCTTACCAGGCTTTGGCTTGGAGTTTGAATCTGATTTTCATTGTATAAAATGATGCACTTTAGCAGAATTTCTGTTTGCATCATTTCTGATTGGCAAAAAAGCTACCATGCTATTCATGAAAAATTACTAAATGAAACATAGAACAACTTTTTCCTTATTATTTCTAATAGTAACTGTAAAAGGTGTCTTTAATGTTTTTCAGGCTCTAGAGTTCCACAAACACAACTGTAATTATTTTCTTTATTGTCCTGCCTTACAGGTTGGCTTGCAATCAGCTTTGCTAATTCTTCTAGGGAGTTAACTTTGCCATCAGAAATGGAGTACAGGACTCAGCTACCACATCGCGAGTGACTGAATCCTTTTAATAC